TCTGCCATCTGTCGAACCACAGTGGTGCGTAATTGAGCCACTTCTGCACGCAGGTGAGTGAACTCCGCTGGGTCAACTTTAGACTCAGTCATCCTGTCAGGTTTTAGCGGCTGAGCTGAAGCGTAGCGGAGATTGTTTGTGGCGTAACTGTGTGACCCAGACGCGGAGTGGCTAGCGTTGGGTTAGACAGAGCACGCAGCTTTATTCTAGGAACGGCGACGCGGCGCTCGGAGAGAGCCGAGACTGAGCAGCAGTTCCGAATGGATAGGAAGCTGACTTACTAGCAGTAGACAGCGTGGGAAGATCCTTCCCCTGGGTTGAGGGCTGGTAAGCCTGAGAACTCGATTCAATGTCTGGTAGGAACGATGACTGAGTGATGAATGAGCGGCGGTGCTTCCGTAAATAGTGTCGGCGTGATGACGTCGGCAAGCCACGTTGGTGGCAGGAATGCAGGGAAGTGGTGGCGGGAATGCTGGGTAGTGTAGTTAACAGGAGGAGTTCGTGACACAAAACACACATCTCGGTCTGCAGTTACTAAACTCAAGTCTACAAATACAAACCATTTTAATCGAGGCTAGGCCAGGTAGCTTTACTTGTATAGCACATTTCATACAAGCAATTCAATGTGCTTTCCAGGAACAAGAACAGCAAGAATGTAAAACATTGAAATCAATGTGACAACATAAAACTAGATTTTAAAATCTAATTTAAATACACAAATACAATTTGATTTATGAATAAGATAAAAAGACAAAGTTCTAAGGGTGCATTATAAGAAGCATTCATTCAAAGGCTGATTATTACATAAAAGGTTTTTATTTTAATTTAAAAGATACTAGTGTTTGGGCTCATTTGAGTTAATTGGGAAACTGATTCCATCTCTGTGCAGCATTGTAGTTAAAAGCAGCTTCACCCTGTTTGGTTTTGACCTGGGGTTCTACCAGCTGTTTGCTTCCTCTACGGATCTCAGAGCTCTGCTGGGTGTATATACAAGAAGATGATCCAATGTGTAGTTTGACTTCATGCCACTAAGTGATTTATAAACTAGTAGAAGCCCATTGAAATCAATCATGTAGTTCACTGGTAATCAGTGTAGAGATTGAAGAACAGGAGTGATGTGCTCAATTCTCTTGGTTCTTGTTAAGACCCTAGCAGCAACATTCAGAATAACCTGCAGTTGCTTCACAGCTTTTTTGGAAAGACCAGACAAGAGATTATTACAATAGACCAGCCTGCTGGAGATAAATGCATGAATGAGTTTTTCCAGATCAATGAATAGGATATTTGCCAAAAGAACCAACTTAGAACAAACATTAGAACTGGCTAAGTGTGAATTATGTCTTTATATACACCCTAAATATTTAATCTTGTGTCATCACAGACTTTAAAGTGTAGTTCAGAGTAGAGTTACAACTTGTACCAGTTTGTAATTGAAGGATTTGATCAAAGAAAATCTTCAAAATTATCTTACTCCATAGTTTTCTTTTATAAACGGCACATTTTTTTGTCTATCTGCTTTGTCATTTTTAAACCAAAGTGTTTAAGTATAAGACTGATCACGCAAACAACCAAAACCCTAATTATATGTGATGGAAGGATTTTGAACATGTAATTGTGCCTCACATTAGTTTAACCACTTAAAAATACTATTTATGTATTTTTTGTTCTGAAAATTTTAGACAAAATGCAGCATCGAGACTGTGTTGTGGGAGAATGTTATTAAATAAGGACAGTGCTGCACAACAGACATGTCTTTGTAGTTTTATTATCTCGGCAAATGCAGGGACAAGAGTCTCTTTTTGCTTCTGCAACACCAGCCTAAACCTGTGGAATGATCACCATCCACAGTTTCTATCAGATGCTTTACCCGCAAGACAAACTAAGAGTGAATAATAGGAATTATATTGTAAATAATGCATGAATTTTGTATTCCAGACTTCATTTAGATGGAGTAAGTGAGCCTTTGAGGGGGAGAACTGAGTTGTGAGCATTTCCAGCATTCAAACAGCTCAACATGGAAACGTGTGAAGTCAAAGGAATTCTGCAGTAGCCACCCAGTTACTGAATATGACATAGTAATAACAGTCTGTACAAAGGCTCTTCACACAAAACCCCTCCAGTCTGTAAAAGCTTTCTTTGTGTTGCTTTGGAAATTTCCACAGCCGCCTGGGAGTGAGACATGCAGGGAAGTCTAAGGGCAGGTACTTGGAATGGGGGGAATAAGTGCTTATTTGTTTTTCTTCTTCATCTTCAGCTGACTCAGTCAAAATGAAACTGAAGATTTACCTGTATCATGCTGGATGAGGAGGAGTTAACTGCCTCGGTTCTTTTTTTGTTGGGTTTCTTGTTCAAAAAAACAAAACTACAAAACACAGTTATGCATGTTGTTTTTCTATGATTCGGCTCTAACCCTTAGACCGTGTTGCTACAATTATGAATTTGGACCAAAACAATTGTGGTCATCAGCTCTATTAATAAAATACAAAATTCTGCACAAAAAAATGCTTTCTGGGATTTACACATGGGTGTTGAAGTGAAATATGTCACCCAACCAAACATTCTTTGCCCACTGAAAAGACTCCAGCACCTTCATGAAAACATCACTCCCTCAAAGAAGACAGATAACCCCAACTCGTCTAGAAAGTGATTGATGAAACTGCACAGAATTGTCTTCAAGAACCCCACAAAATCTTTGAAGTTCCCACTAGTTTCTAAAATCATAAAAACCAATTTAAAGGATCCGTTTTCAAAAGCCACATGATGATCTGCTAATAAAATTGGAATTTTCAGATCACTCAGATGCTTTTTTAATTTCCTTATTGGTTCTCACGTTATAAGAATAATATACTTCAGTTTTTGTATGTGGTCATAATGTTTTGCCTGACTTGTGCTCTGTTGTTTGCTGGTTTCTCAAAATTTTTGCTCAGGCTTTGCAAATGACACTAATGGAAAATTGCTGCTGGCATGGTAACGTGTTAATCTGAAATGGCAACTAGCGAAGATAGTTTATTAAAAAGCTGGTCATTAACAAACCAACTGAGAATTAAATCTACAATAGCAAAGTGTAGCTATTAATGTATTGTGTGGAGATGGAAAACTACATAAATGAATACATTTATTTTCTAGCATTTGTGTAAAACAAGCTAGCAACGCAAACACAGTCACAGAAAACCATGCTTCGGACGAAAAGCAACCATTGGACCATCCGGTTGTCGGTCTCGCCGAACTGCTGCACTACCGTGGGTCCTCTGTTCATTATGCATTCACACATTCTGCAACAGAACAGCACTGGTGTGAGAGGATCGTGGCTCAATAATATCAGAGGAGAAACAGCTGGCTGCTACAACAGGGTGGGCCATTTATATGGATACACCTTAATAAACAGGGAATGGTGATATTAACGTCCTTTTTGTGGCACATTAGTATATGTGAGGGGGCAAAATTTTCAAGATGGGTGGTGAGCATGGTGGCCATTTTCAAGTTGACCATCTTGGATTCAACTTTTGTTTTTTTAATAGGAAGAGGGTCATGTGACACATCAAACTTATTGGTCATTTCACAAGAAAAACAATGGTGTGCTTGATTTTAACGTAACTTTATGACTTTGAACCAAGTTTAGTTCAAAGTCTGAACAACATTGAACAAAAAAAAATGGTCGGCATCAATTCTGACCTTGAACCTGCAGCTGTCCAGCTGCCTGTTTACATGGTGTTGTACTTTCAGCAGCATGTGGTCAGGAATCGAGGGGTGTTCTCTTCCAACATCGGGCTCTCTGCACTCATGAGGACAACAGTGTCCTGCATATTCATGTCTGGATCCACCAAGGGGCCCCTTTGAGGTGGTCAGATATGATGTTTGCACAGATGTGTGGGTCCAAAGCAATGCCCCTCTGGTGGTCCGAACCCCCCTCCCGCTCTGGTAATGATGGAGCCTCTTTTGGCTACATTCTCTATTTTGGCTGCAGTCTCATCATGGGTGACATGAACTTGAGAGACGGAGGTGGGCCTCTGGGACTGTTTCAAGCAGGAAGTCATGTGAGGATATCTTTCCAGCTGTACATGAAAACAGTCAGACTACCCATAATGCCTGAGGGGGTGTTTGACCAGCAGCCACTTTTGTTTATTGTTATTTTACTGTCAGATCTCAAAAACAACAACAATTGGATCTGAGGAAAACAACTTAGGTTTTTAGTTCTGAACTTTAAATGGGGACAAAACATTTTACCAAACGTGTAGGTCTCTTTCTATCCATCATGCCATCTGTTCACATACGTTTTACCTCCTGGTTCAAATTTGGCTTTCAAATGTAAATGAAAGCTATCTGGGTCAGTCACGGAGCATTTCAGTCCAGTTGAACCACAATTAAACTCTGTGTTGTGTGTGCTGTTTACGTTTGGTCAGGATTAAAGATGTTATCTTTATGACTTGTCACAATTTTCTGTGAAACTTGTTTTATAAAAATCTAATCTGACATTAGGTTTGCATCTGCTTCTTGTGAATCTACACCAGCTGCCCTTTGCTCAGCTTGCCAAAAGCGACTTGGTCAGCATTAATGAACTTGAGTAAACATCCTGGCGAATGTTTTGAACTGAATCATGTATTGCCGATGATTATTAAGACATTTTAGTGAACAAATGTATGATGAATGGCTGAGTGCTTCCTTGCTGTAGGTCGTCAAGAGGGGGGTTGTTTTTCCCCGTATGGATCGCACGTGCAAAGTTGTTTTTGTTTCGTTACAAATCCTCTTGTTTTTCACGAGGCCTAATGTTTTCAGTCGAGCTTTGGCTATTACAGAAGTTACAGCGAGTCCTACCGTCTGCTTCCTAGGCAAAAATTAGGAACAAAAGGAAACTTTTGAAAAAAAAATAAAAGCTCAGTGTGTTTGATTCTACTCTAGGTTGCACTTGTACAACATCTGAGTTACTGCTGCTCCCTTTGTTATAACGGCGTCGCAGACTACATGCGACTGATTTTTCACACGGCCCTTGTTGTGTGTTGCAGGAATCCAGGAGGCTACGGAGTGCACAAAGTGTAAAAATGACTGGGTGTTGAGGGCAGCCATTGCTCTCCTCTATGTTCTCTGCGCCCTGCTCACCATAGCAGTGGCCGTTCTTGGATACAAAGGTAAGATCAAATAAAATAGAAGTTGGTTTCTGATTTCACCACAATGAGTATGAGTCCTTTCTAAGTTTAGTCCAGAATTCCTCAAAAAACGTGCACAATGAAAATCAAGTTTAAATGCATACTAAATAGCGTTTTCATATTTTTAAAACATTTTCTTAAGCGAGTATGTGTGTGACAGGGTGAGCATCCTGTCGCTGTATCCTGATTGATTATGCGCCCTGCTACTTAGCCACAGGGATGTCCCTTTGGCTGACTGGGTAGTGTACGTGACTATCACCCTCGACTCTCGGGATCGAATCTCGCCTAGGCCCTCGTTACTCCACCTTGTCACATGTGCTAAAATTACCCTTTACAGGGTTGATGAGATGTCCCTCAGACCCCCAACGCCCTCTGTGGCTAGAACATCACCCTTGCAACTTCAGAGAAGAGGGGCTGGTCCTTGCTGGTTGATCATAAACACAGCTGGTCTGTTTGATTTAGCGATGAGCCGCTCTTGTAGACACTAATGAAGGCTGAGGAGACATTTCAGCAGTTAGATTAAGGTGTTAAAAAGACGAACATGCAGTGAGGAGAAGAGTTTAACTTTCGATTTTACAACAGTAAATCACTCTCTAAATCTGAGACCATGGTCTTCAATTGGAAAAGGGTAGAATGTCTTCCCAAGGTCAGGGATAAGGCCCTGCCCCATCTCAGGGTCTTGTTCTCGAGTGAGTGAAAGCTGGAGAGCGAGATCGATAGGCGGATTGGTGCTGCGTCTGCAGTGATGCGGGCGTTGTACTGATCTGGTCACGAGCTTTGGGTAGTAACCGGAAGAACGAGATTGTGGATACAAGCAGCCAAAAAGAGTTTTCTCTGCAGGGTGGTTGGGCTCTCCCTTAGAGGAAGGGGGACAAGCTCGGTCATCAGGGAGGGGCTCAGGGTTGATCCGCTGCTCCTCCACATTCTGGGCATGTCCAACCAGGAGGAGACCTAAAGGGACATCCAGGACACGTTGGAGGGACTATGTCTCTCACCTGGCCAGGGAACGCCTTGGAATTCCCCTGGAAGAGCAGGCCCAAGTGGCTGGGGAGAGGGAAGTTTGGGCCTCTCCACTTGCTGTTGCCCCTACGACTCGACTCCGGATAAGCGGCAGAAAATGGATGGAATTAATAAAGGACTCAGGGGGTGTGTAAAGCAAGCCAAAACTGCATAGTTTCCCTTTAACACCATCTATTGACAGCGATTCAAAGTTATATTCATGACTTATTCTGATTTCCAAAGATGGAGTTAGTCAAATCCAAAGGGGCCAATTACCATTAACCCAAAAATGGAACCTTTCCCACTTTTTCTGTTACACTATGGCTCTAGTTGCTTGATGGTAAATAAGATTTTCCTAAATACATTAGAAATTTTTAAACTAAGTTTTAGAGGTTCAATGCTACACGTCTTTTTAGTCCTTGTCATCATATAATCTGATTCATTCAATATTTAGGAAATGTTTAGTTTGCCTATGGAATTACAAACATAGAAATGAACTAAAATATTTTGGATATTTAGTCTAAATTGGAAGATTTATAATCAATCAACACATCAAACACAGCTTTTGCTTTAAAAGTATTTGCTTTTACAGCTTGGGTTAATTGTGATCTGGTTAAATTTATTTTAGAGTATTTCCTCACCTTCTACCCTATCAGTATACTAAATATTTCTTTGTTTGATCAAGATCAGGCATTCCACAGTGAACGGCCAAGTTCTGGAAGACGTCTGTTGTTTTTTTCTGCCCTGAAAATAATCTCTTTTTTTTTTCCTGAGATAAGTGTTTGCTAGAGAAACAAAACACAGTGTGCAACATTGTTCTCACTGCAACCTGTTTTTGTGGTTGGAACCAGAGGAATGATGTTAAATAGAAACAGAGGAATTTCAGCTATCCCGACGGTTGGTTGTGTAGTGTCCAGCTTCACACTTTTTAATCCTAACCAATCACCTAAATCCTGTCAAGCCTTCTCTGTGCAACATATTCTGATGTATCACCTTGTTCACATCCAAAGCTCACTGGGAATGGCTTCATAGGGTAATTTACAAGTTCAGGTATAAATCAAACTCATGTCTTTTAAGGAATACTATACAACTTTTTCATATTTTAAATAATTTCCTTGAGCCAGTATGTGCTCAAATAATCATTTACAGGGGTAAGGAAATGTCACTCAGACCCCCACAGCCTTGTGGCCAGAACATGGCACTTGCAACTTCAGAGATCCGGTCTGCTCCCTGTTGAACTCCAGTAAAGTGGAGCTGAAATGCCAGGGCTGCAGTCTGCTTCCAGCACCTTTCCTGCATGTTTTTGAAAATGAAAAAAAGCTGATTTGTTTGACTTAGTGATGAATCACTTCTGTAGACACTAATGAAGGCTGGGGAGACATTTCAGCTGTTAGATTAAGGTGTGAAAAAAACAAATGTGCAGTGAGGAAAGCAAAATTACTCTCAGGATTATGTTGGTTTCCAGCTTTAGGCCTGAATTGGCCCGGAGACTTTGGGATTTAGATGTTTTTTCTCTAATTTCTACCAGATGACCATGCAGGGACTACCCTAGCTTAAGAACCCAGAGGAAATGTTATGGTTCAGTAGTACTTTGTTGTCTCATAACCGCAGGTTGACTCACAAATGACTGGAAATGTCAACAGAAAATAATGTAAGCTGAATTCTTCATTGGATTTTCATCTCCTTGCTTTGTACTTCACATAAATTTGGCACTTGAAGGAATTGCTTTGTTTAGATTGTGTTACCTGCTGTGTTGCTAAATACCTGCCACAGTTCCAACTCAGATTGCAAATCGCTCATTACTTATCACAACAGGCAACCGCCGTAAGCCTAAGGAGGATCTGCATTTTGGAAAAATTTAATACAGGAATGTGGAAAGAATGTGTTTACGGAGAGAGCCGGCATGCTCAGATCAAACGTAGCTGAATGGATGTGTAGGTGTCTCTGTCACCCCTCAAAAACTCAAATCAATCGTGGAAGAATTAAGTCAAAGAAAGACTCGACTGTGAGAAGTTGGGTCCTGCTGATTTTTTCTTTCCATAAAATCTTAGAATGTTTTCCAATTGAGTTACCAGCGTCACCCCTTGCTGCTGTCCCATAGGGGAGAGGAGGTGCTGCAGAAATCATGAGAAAAAAAGAGAACTGACCCAAGAGCATGTAGTGGAAACTATGAACGCTGTTAGCTTGATCAATCAACAGTTTTGTTGTTTACAGGTTGCAAAGGTGCCAGGAAGTTGACCAAAATTGTGTGTTCAGAACAAGAAGTATGAAAACACCAGCACCCTCTGCTGGTGTGAATTAATCCATCTCAATCAAAAAGTTTGTTCCCTTCAAGGTCCTGTTTAGATGTTTCTGTAAAAGTTTGTTTTAAATGTAATAAATGCAAGGGGAAAAAATCTCCCAATTCTATGTTTTTTTTAATCAATGGATCACTTTGTTCTCTTAGTTGTTCAGAAAATGGACAATGTCACAGAAGGAATGCAGAATTACCGTGGCAAGATCAATGCTGTGGAGACAGACTTAAAGAAACTAGGTGACCCTGCATGACAAAAAGTTTGAACACATGTGGCTTTGATTTTCACATTTTACTACATTTGCATGTTCTGTTGACACTTCTGCTTTTTGTTTTGCATGTTATATTTTTAGACAATCAGGCGGAAGACAAGACGTTTAATGCAACTGGGAAAAGGAGCACTTTCAAGTCAGAACTGGAAACATTACAAAACCAAATGAGAGACATTAGCACCAAAGCAGTCAGCAACAAGGAGCTGCTGGATAAACTTCTAGTCACGGGAGACGACATGCAGAGTGGCCATGTCTCGTTGAAAAGTTATTTGGAAGGCAATGCTGCCTCACTGCGTGGGATCAATCAGTCGTTGTCCTCCTACAGCGGGATGATTGAGAACCTTCAGAAAGACACAGAGCGGCTCCAGTCTGAAATGCAGGATCAGGTCAAAGATCAGAGTGAGATCCAAGTTAGTGTTGGTGCGCTTAATATCACCCAAACCCAGCAGCGCAATCTGCTCAGCTCTCTTCAGAAGACAGTTGACGATACAAGCCAGACATTTCAGAAACTGAAGATTGACTATCAGGTTCTGCAGCAGACAGTCAGACAAACGCGTTCAGACACCGACTGGCTTAAAGAAAAGGTTCAGAATCTCCAGGTCTTGGCAGCCAATTACTCGTCTCTGGCCAGATCCAATGAAGACACTCTGAATGATTTGGGAACTCAGCTTAGCGCTTTAGCCAGCCAAATCCAGAACACCTCAGCCCTCACTGAAGACCATGACCAGAACTTACGCCAGCTGATGGACCATAAAAGAGACCACGATAATGCCACCTCCATCAAATTTGATGAGATGGAAGCTCGGTTAGACAGATATGAGAATGGCATGGGCCGTGTGACTGGAAACATGAGCTTTGCAGCGCAGATTTTAGGAGTCATCAGCTCTGACCTGAATGGGCTTAGATCTTGTGCTGAGACAGTCATGAGACATTCAGATCTGTTAGCAGGACTGAATGCTAGTATGGACGCAGCCAAGGCAGACAGCAAATATTTGCACAGCCAACAGGATGAGCTATCTGCCAAATTGGACCAAGAGGTGAATAATCTGTCCATGGTGATGGAGGAGTTGAAGATTGTGGACAGCAAGCACTCACAGCTCATCACCAACTTCACCATCCTGCAGGGTAAGAACAGACTCGGTGTGTTTGGAGAAGCTTCAGATTACATGATGATCAACTGATAATAGGTTTTTATCATAAATCACAGCCATGCTTCAAACCTGAGCTGGTTTAACTTTTGCTGCCATTACTTTAGCATTTATTAGTAAAATAGAAGGTGTAAATGTCATTTATGTTCCTTTATTTCTTTTTAAAAGAAATAAATGAACATTTTACTGTGAAACGCTCCAGTGAAAGCTGGAGATCACTGTCTGATGAAGCCAGCACATGAAGCCAGCCACATCATCTGCAAAAAGCAGCGATCTGATCCTTAGGCCACCAAAACAGATATCCTCAACACATTGGCTGCACCTAGAAATCCTGTCCATAAAAGTTATGAACAGAATCAGTGATAAAGGACAGCCTTGTCCAACTCTCACCGGAAACAAACTCGACTTACTGTGGACAATGCGGCCCAAGCTCGGACATACAGGGACCTAGCAGCCCATACCAAAGGGCCTGGTACCCCATATTCCTGGAGTACCCCCCAAAAGGCCCCCTGAGGGACGCAATCAAACGCCTTTTCCAAATCCACAAAACAAATGTAGATTAGTTGGGCGAACTCCCACACACCCTCCAGGACCCCCGAAGGGTATAGAGCTGGTCCAGACCTGTTTTTTTCTTTTTACTTCATTATACTAATTTGTTTATTTTCTGGACCAGGTCCACCAGGTCCAAAAGGTCCCAAGGGTGACAGAGGTCCAGAAGGCTCAGCTGGCTTGAAAGGATCAAAGGGTGATAAAGGGGACAAGGGGATGCCAGGAACGGTGGGACCTAAAGGAGAGAGAGGTCCCACTGGACCATCTGGCATGGCAGGTCCAAAAGGTCTGCCCGGGACTCGAGGATTTCCAGGATCTAAAGGTTCTAGAGGCCCTGGAGGTCGACCTGGAGACCCTGGTGAGAAGGGTGACCCTGGACTTCCTGGGATCTCTGGTAATAATGGAATACCTGGACATATGGGACCACAAGGTCTACAAGGGCCTAGAGGAGCAGCAGGGCCTACAGGCTTAGAGGGACCTCGTGGGCCTATTGGACCTATTGGTCCTCCAGGTCCTCCAGGCCTTCCAGGACTACCTGCTGCAGTGCCTCCTGTATTTGTAAAGCCATCACAGCCGGCTCCAGTCTTCAAACCCACCCTACAAACTGTAGGTCCAGCTTTACCCAGAGAGAAACTACCAAGCTCAGTGCCTCAGAAGGCCCTGCCTCCATCTGCTGCCCCTACAGCAGAACCTGGTGAGTTTAGTGTTTATGAAACTGGAATGTGTAAATGTGATCAGTTCTATTTACACTTACTGGCCATTTTATTGGGTACACCTTGCTAGTACTGGGTTGGACCCCCTTTTGCCTTCAGGACTGCTTTAATCTTTAGTGGCATCAATTCAATAAGGTTGGAAACATTCCTCAGAGACCTTGGTCCATATTGACATGATAGCATCAGCGGTTGCTGCAGATGTGTCGGCTGCATATCCATCATGTGAATCTACCGTTCCACCACATCCCAAAAGGTGCTCTTTTGGACTGAGATCTGGTGACTGTGGAGGCCATTTGACAACAGTGAATTCATTGTCATGTTCAAGAAACCAGTCTGAGATGATTTGAGTTTTATGACATGGACCATTATCCTGCCGTAAATAGCCATCAGAAGATTGGTACACTGTGGTCATAAAGAGATGGACATGGTCAGCAACAATACTTAGGTAGGCCGTGCAACAATGATCAGTTTGTACTAAGAGGCCCAAAGTGTGCCAAGAAAATGTCCCCCACACCATTACACCACCAGCAGAAGCCTGAACCGTTGATATTCTGACCCTCCCATCCGAATGTCGCAGCAGAAATCGAGACTCATCAGACCAATCTTCTATTGTCCAATTTTGGTAAGACTGTGCAAGTTGTAGCCTCAGTTTCCTGTTCTTAGCTGACAGGAGTGGCACCCGGTGTGGTCTTCTGCTGCTGTGGCCCATCTGCCTCAAGGTTCAACATGTTGTGCGTTCAGAGATGCTCTTCTGCATACCTTGGTTGTAACGATTATTTGAGGTACTGTTGCCTTTCTATCAACCCAAACCAGTCCGGCCATTCTCTTCTGACCTCTGGCATCAACAACGCATTTACACCCACAGAACCATCGCTCACTGGATGTTTTCCCTTTATTGGACCATTCTCTGTAAACCCTAGAGATGATTGTGTGTGACAGTCCTAGAAGATCAGCAGTTTCTGAAATTCTCAGACTAACCTGTCTGGCACCAACAGCCATTCCACATTCAAAGTCACCTAAATCACCTTTCTTCCCCATTCTATAGCTCAGTTTGAACCACAGCAGATCATCTTAACCATGTCAACATACCTAAATGCATTGAGTTGCCACCATGTGATTGGCTGATTAGTAATTTGAGTTAATGAGCAGTTGGAGAGGTGTACCCAATAAAGTGGCCAGTGAGTATAAATATGCATTTTCAAATTCCAGCATCACAACAATTGAAATTGCATCTCCAAAGATTTTATTTTAGCTTTGAAATTTTGATGTTAATTTTTTCAGGTTGTCCTCTTCAGTTCAGAAAGTTTGGAGACAGCTGCTATTACTTCTCCTCTGGTTCTCAGAGGCTTAACTTTAATGGAGCGAACACGTTTTGCAGTAACATATCATCTCATTTGATCATAATCAATAATGATGAGGAACAGGTAAAAAAGAATAACAGATTTCAAGTATTCAAGTTGATTTTTGGGGAATTTATAAAGTTTTTGTTTATTTTCTGCCTGTAGCAATTTGTGAGGAAGGCAATTGCAGGAAAAGGCTTTTTCTGGCTTGGGCTTACTGACAAGGAGAAGGAAAATGTCTGGAAGTGGGTGGATGGAACCATACCAGTTTTCACGTGAGTTTGAAATTTCGAATTATATTTTTGAGCTTGATTGTGGCATTTTCTTTTAATAACTGACCTGAGTTTTGTTATCAGGAAGTGGAAACCTGGTCAGCCTGATAACTGGACTCACGGTCATGAAGATGGCGAAGATTGTGCAGGTCTCATCCATAATGCCAACTGGAATGATTTCTACTGCACTGACAGCATTGGTTTTATCTGCGAACGCCCATCAGACTGTTAGTATCATTTTAAAATTTTAAAATTTTTTACTGCAGTTTTTATACCACAGTCTTCATTTTTTATCACCCCCAACACACCCTGCAAAAAATAAAAAATAAAATCAAATAAATCAAATACAGCTAAGGTTTTTTTACAAACTGTAGACACTTTTTGTGGGTTCAATTTAAGGGATCAGACACGCAATACTTATTTTTGAGAATATATGCTAGAATAAATTTGAATTATTTAATCCCAACAGTAATTGGATCGTGCATCACAGTTGCTTTTTCTATATTGGTAAAATGTCAACCACATGGAATGCTTTTACAGTAAATGCAGTAAGCATACATCAGAGGTGTGGATGTTTACCTCATGTGTTGTGTTTTTGCTGTTCTCTTCACAGCGGAAGTTCCTGTTTTATAGCATCCGTGGAAGACCTCTGCTGGGAAAAGAGAGTGAAAATGAAGATGATAATCAGTCTTTTACATGAATGACTCTGCAAAATCATGCTTGATCAGAGTCACAAGGACTCATAATGGTCTTCTGAGACACTTTAAACACTCAATAACGCCTAAGATGGAGCAAGAGCAGAGCTGCTCCACTGCAGTACTGGTTAAAATTGGTACTAATGTAACATAAGATTGTAGTCATTCATTAGGCTTAACCAAAGCATTGTTTTGGAAAGCTACTTTTGTACATAAGTATCTGTAAATAGCCTTTTATCAGACAAAAAGTGTGATTATTTTGTACTATTGAATGTCCTGACAATTTTCTCTTTTTAACACTTGCAGTAAAATAAAATGGAAATAAGAACGAAATCAGTTTCAAATAATTAAAAAAGTGGAACTAGTTTAGATTTTGTGAAAATACTCCACCGTTTTAATAATTCACCAGCTGCAAACATAAATGCCTTGTGCTCTTACTAACACTGATCACATGTCTGCAGCTTTAAAGAAAATCTTTTCACAATTATAACATCATTGTACTGCTCTGTTATAACTGACCTTCTCCGACCCAAACCTGAATGTAATGACATATTAATATATACATTTAATATCTGGTACCTATTAACAATTTAGGCTATACATATTTGTGAATAAGCAGTTTAAAGTTTATTTGTTCAACACACCAGGAGCAACATTGAATGACTGATCGTTGCTGTGCCACATGTTCTCTAAAAGTTAGAAAGAAGTCCTCTTTTTTTTGAATGGGTAATGAAAGACACGCCATCAAGGGAGCCATCTGCCTCGACAGCAGCAGATTGATGGCAGCAGCCAAGACACCAATCCAGGACACCCCGTAAGGAAGGGTGGCAGCCTCCACCACTACCTGGGCACTACCCTAGGAGCGCCCCAGCCGCCGCCACCGACCACCAGTCCCGAGGCAGAGGGCTCCACAGAGGAAACACTGGAAGAATTAAAATATGTATCATGTAAAATAACAAGAGCTACCATGGAAAATATCTAAAATGAATGATGTAAAATATTCAATAAAATGTGATAATACAAATAAAACAACATAAATATGTAACAACAATATTTACAAACAAATAAGTAAAACAAGCAATACAATAAATAGTAATCAGTTAAAAGCTAAACTAAAAAGGTGGGTCTTGAGCCTGACCATAAAAACTTGAACGTTCTCTGCGACCATGAGATCCTCCGGCAGCCCGTTCCAGAGGCGAGGGCCGCAATAACTAAAAGACGCCTCGCCGTCAGTGTGTGTCCTGACTTTAGGAATGACAAGGAGACGGCTGCCAGAGGAGTGCAGGGACCGTGAGGGTTCATTTGGTAAAAGCAGTTGTGAGAGATAAGATGGGCCAAGACCATTAGGACACTAAAAAAACATTAAAAGTATCTTAAAATCGATCCTGAAACATACGGGGAGTCAGTGCAGTGATTCTAAAACCAGAGTGATGTGCTTCCACTTCCTTGTCTTCGTCGGGACACGAGCTGCTGAGTTTTGTAAAAGTTGTAGACCTGAAGTGCTCTTTTTAGGAAGACCAGAAAGCAGGACATTGCAGTAGTCTATTCTACTGGTGATAAAAGTATGCAACAGCGTCTCCGTATTCGTATTGGCCCGAGAGAGAATGGGGCAGACTCTGGCAACGTTCTTGAGATGATAAAAACCTATTTTAGTAATGTTTTAATGTGGGGGATAAAAGTCAGCTCAGAGTCGGAAACCACGCCCAGGTTCTTCACTTGTCAAGAAGGATTAAAAGACATTGATTGTAGTATTGGTAAAAGTTTCTCCCTCTGGGCCTCAGGACCGATGACTAAAATTTCAGTTTTGTCCCGGTTGAGCTGGAGAAGTTTTCTGCCATCCAGGATTTATTGTCTAAAATGCAATTAAAAAGTTCATCCATTGGCCGTGTGGCATCAGGAGATACAGAGATGTACAGCTGTGTATCATCAGCATAACTGTGGAAATTCACTCTGTGTCTCCTGATGACGCCGCCAAGAGGGAGCATATAGAGGTTAAAAGGTACTGGGCCTAAAACTGAACCCTGAGGCACACTGTCATGAACTGGGGTGAGTACTCTTTTCATCATTCACCATCTCTGAGTATTTTTGGTTGCAGGAGAGGGAGCGGCAGCTGATCCTCATCAGCTAATCAGTGGGGCAGCTTTATAAGGAGGATGGTAAACATGACTCGACGCCGGAAGATTAATACTGACTGGTAGTCTCTTGCCCTTCAAACTAAACTCATCTCTTGTCTTTGAACTTTTGTGAATGTTTTTGAACCTCGATTAATTTTGGATATTTGTCTGGATTACTCACCTCAGGTTGGCTTCTCCTCTGGATTTCCATCCAACCCTGCAAGGATCTCTTACCGGCTTGCTTCCTGGTTCACCATCACCCACTTGGCCGACCCGCTCTCCACCACGTCTCCGCTCCCTCCCTCTCCAACTCCACACGCCGTCGTTATCATTGTCGTCGTCGTCCTCTGCTTATCCGTGTCCGGGTCGCGGGGGCAGCATCCCAACTAGGGAGCTCCAGACTGTCCTCTACCCGGCCTTCTCCACCAACTCCTCCAGCAGGACCCCATGGCGTTCCCGGACCAGATTGGAGATGTAACCTCTCCAATGTGTCCTGGGTCGACCTGGGGGCCTCCTGCCGGCAGGACATGCCCGAAACACCTCCCTGGGGAGGCGTCCAGGAGGCATCCTGACCAGATGCCCAAACCACCTCAACTGACTCCTTTTGATCCGGAGGAGCAGCAGTTCTACTCCGAGTCCCTCCCGAATGTCCGAGCTCCTCAACCTATCTCTAAGGCTGAGCCCGGCCACCCTATGGAGTAAAATCATTTCGGCCGCTTGTATCCGCGATCTCGTTCTTTCGGTCATTACCCAAAGCTCATGACCATAGGTGAGGAATGGGACGTAGATCGACCGGTAAATTGAGAGCCTGGCTTTCTGGCTCAGCTCCCTCTTCACCACGACATATCGGCTCAGCGTCTGCGTCACTGCAGACGCTGAACCAATCCACCTGTCGATCTCCCGATCCCTCCTACCCTCACTTGTGAACAAGACTCCGAGATACTTACACTCCTCCACTTGAGGTAGAACCTCTCCCCCGACCCGAAGCTGGCAAGCCACCCTTTTCTGGTCGAGAACCATGGTCTCAGATTTGGAGGTGCTGATCCTCATCCCAGCTGCTTCACACTCAGCCAGAACCTACCCAGCAAGAGCTGAAGGTCAGAGCATGATGAAGCTAGGACGACCACATCATCCGCAAAAAGCAGAGACGAGATTCTCCTGCCACCAAACTCGACACACTCCACACCACGGCTGCGCCTAGAAATTCTGTCCATAAAGGTAATGAACAGAACCGGTGACAAAGGGCAGCCCTGGCGGAGTCCAACCCTCACCGGGAACAGGTCCGACTTACTATTGGCTATGCGGACCAAACTCACGCTCCTCTGGTAAAGGAACTGAATTGCCCTTAACAGAAAGCCACCCAACCCATGCTCCTGGAGCGTCCCCCACACGGTGCCCCTGGGGACACCGTCATAAGCCTTCTCCAAATCCACAAAACACATGTGGATTGGTTGGGCAAACTCCCATGCCCCCTCCGTCCCCCTTGCAAGGGTATAGAGCTGGTCCACAGTTCCACGGCCAGGATGAAAACCACATTGCTCCTCCTCAATCTGAGATTCAACTATCGATCGGACCCTCCTCTCCGGTACCTTGGAGTAGACTTTATAAGGGAGGCTGAGGATTGTGATCCCCCTATAGTTGGAACACACCCTCAGGTCACCCTTCTTAAAGATGGGGACCACCACCCCGGTCTGCCACTCCACAGGAACTGCCCCCGATGACCATGCAATGTTGCAGAGACGTGTCAACCATGACAGCCCTACAACATCCATAGCCTTGAGATACCCAGGAGGAACCTCATCCGCCCCCGGGGCTCTGCCGCTGTGTAGTTGTTTGACTACCTCAGCAACTTCTGCCCCCGAGATTCGACAGTCCATCCCCAGGTCTCCCGGCTCTGGTTCCTCCTCGGAATGTGCATAGGTGGGATTGAGGAGCTCCTCAAAGTATTCCTTCCACCGTCCGACTATTGCCCCAGTTGACGTCAACAGCTCCCCATCTCCCTTGTAAACAGTGTGAGAGAGTTGCTGCCTTCCTCTCCTGAGGCGCCGGACAGTTTGCCAGAACCTCTTTGGAGCCGATCGATAGTCTTTCTCCATGGCCTCACCAAACTCCTCCCACGCCCGAGATTTTGCCTCGACAACTGCCACTGCTGCACCCTGCTGGGCTATCCGGTACCTGTCTGCTGCCTCCGGAGACCCACAGACCAGCCACGCCCTGTAGGCCTCCTTCTTCAGCCTGACGGCTCCCCGAACCTCTGGTGTCCACCGGCGGGTACAGGGGTTGCCACCACGGCTGGCACCGGTCACCTTGCGACCACAGCTAGCAACAGCCACCTCAACAATCGCAGAGTGGAACAAGGCCCACTCGGTGTCAATGTCCCCCACTGCTCTCGGGACGCGGTCAAAGCTCTGCCGGAGGTGGGAGTTGAAGACCGTCTTAACAGGTTCTTCTGCCGGGCATTCCCAGCAGACCGTCACTATGCGTTTGGGTCTGCCAGGTCTACGCGGCATCTTCCCCTGCCATCTGATCCAGCTCACCACCAGGTGGTGATCAGTTGACAGCTCCGCTCCTCTCTTCACTCGGGTGTCCAAAACATACGGCCGCAGGTCAGATGATACAACTACAAAGTCTATCATCAACCTGCAACCTAGGCTGCCCTGGGCTGCCCTGGTACCAAGTGTACCGATGGGCATCCTTATGTTCGAACATGGTGTTCGTTATGGCCAAACTGCGGCTTGCACAGAAGTCCAATAACAAAACACCACTCGAGTTCAGATCAGGCGGGCCGTTCCTCCCAATCACACCCCTCCAGGTCAAGCTGTCATTGCCCACGTGAGCATTGAAGTCCCCCAGCAGGACAATGGAGTGCCCCGATGGAGCACTATCTAGCACTCGTCCCAGGGACTCCAAAAAGGGTGGGTACTCTGAACTGATATTTGGCCCATAAGCACAAACAACAGTAAGGACCCGTTCCCTGACCCGAAGGTGCAGGGAAGCTACCCTATCGTCCCCCGGGGTAAACCCCAACACACAGGCAGAGAGTCTTGGGACTAACAAAAAGCCAACCCCAGCCCTCCGCCTCTCAGCAGGAGCAACTCCAGCAAAGGAGAGTGTCCAACCCCTCGCAAGGACTTGGGTTCCAGAGCCAATGCTATGTGTCGATGTGAGTCAGACTATATCTAGCCGGTACCGCTCAACCTCTGCCACAAGCTCCTGCTCCTTCCCCGCCAGCGAGGTGACGTTCCAGGTCCCCAAAACCAGTTTTCTTGTCCGGGGATCGGACCGCCAAGGCTCCCGCCTTGGTCTGCCACCCGATCCACATTGCACCGGACCCTTCATGTTCCTCCTGCTGGTGGTGGGTCCACAGTTGGATGAGCCCATGTATCCGGTTCGGGCTGGGCCTGGCCAGGCCCCATGGGCGAAAGCCCGGCCACCAGGCTCTCGCTCACGGGCCACAACCCCAGGCCTGGCTCCAGGGTGGGACCCCGGTAACCCTCCGGGCTGGGTACTCATGTCAGTCTTGTTCACAAGTGAGGGTAGGAGGGATCGGGAGATCGACAGGCGGATTGGTTTAGCGTCTGCAGTGTCGCAGACGCTGAGCCGATCTGTCGTGGTGAAGAGGGAGCTGAGCCAGAAAGCCAGGCTCTCAATTTACCGGTCGATCCATGTCCCAATCCACACCTATGGTCATGAGCTTTGGGTAATGACCGAAAGAACGAGATCGCAAAAACATGCGGCCGAAATTAGTTTCCTCCGTAGGGTGGCCGGGCTCAGCCTTAGAGATAGGTTGAGGAGCTCGGACATTCGGGAGGGACTCGGAGTAGAACCGCTGCTCCTCTGGATCGAAAGGAGTCAGTTGAGATGGTTTGGGCATCTGGTCAGGATGCCTCCTGGACGCCTTCCTGGGGAGGTGTTTCGGGCATGTCCTGCCGGCAGGAGCCCCCCCCCCCCGGTCAACCCAGGACACGTTGGAGAGGTTACATCTCCAATCTGGTCCGGGAACGCCATGGGGTCCTGCCGGCGGAACTGGTGGATGTGGCTGGTGACAGGATGATCTGGAGCTCCCTAGTTGGGATACTGCTCCCGCGACCCGGACCCGGATAAGCGGAGGAAGACGACAACGACGATTTCGGAAAAGTAATTGTTTCTGGAATTTCTAACTGCTTTATTGTATAAATTTAACTGTTCATTAAATATTTGCTTATTTATTGTGATCTTGTTTTTCCTCCATCTCCTCTCTATCTCCCTGTAAGTTCTCTCTAGCTGCTTCAGATTTTCATTACTCCAAGGAGATGTATGTTTTGACTTTAGTGTTTTGACTTTGGATGGGGCAAGCAAGTCCAGAGTAGATTTGAGTCTACTGTTAAATCGTTGAGAATACGATCACGGGGACAGTTGAATTAATAGGAGGGATCTTTTTAAAAGCGTCCAGAAAACCAGCAACCACTTCATGGGTTAGATGGCGTTTCATTACAGTTCTCACAGAGGTCTCCTGCTGAATTATACTGGTGCTGTTAAAAAAAACACACAGAAATGATCAGAGATCGCTAAATCCACGACAGAGGACACACCGGTGAACAGGCCATACGCGATGACCAAGTCCAGGGTGTGTCCCCTGTCGTGAGTTGGCTGTGTGACATGTTGAATAAAATCCATATAGTTCAAGATGTTTAAAAATTCTGTGGCTAAAGGATCTGAAAGATTATCTACATGTAGATTAAAATCACCATCACAATCATTATCACCATCATCATCAGTAGTAGTAGTAGTAGTAGTAGTAGTAGTAGTAGTAGTAGTAGTAGTAGTAGCAATGTTATTGTTGTGTTACAAAGTAAATTATTTTGGAACAATAATTGTTTAAAAGAAATAAAATTACACCAGGAAGATCAACAATGTACAGAAATACCTTTCATATAATAAATTCAAGGTGAAAACTGCAACAGGAAAATCTCATTTTATTGCGTTATAAAAATGATAAAAAGCTGTATTTTAATAGTTCACCATATTACATCAATTTAGCGTCATTGTTTAAGAAAATATTATAAACCGCTTAATCGAGTGCTGACGGTGCTGACAAAGTGTCACGTGACCACCATCACCTGACGATGACATGTTTATTTTCTTTCCAGCGAAGGTAATTTGTATTGTATACTGCGTGTTTTTTCCCCCGGTTTATGGTGACTTCAAACGGTGGCAAGTGTTCCGATTTGTGAGGTAGATTATCAGTGGGTGTCAGAGATTTACTCGACACCCGACTAGCCGCTTCAATTACCCATCATGCCCCGCTTGTTGCCGACTGACGAGAAGGAGTGACTGTGTAGAAAAGAGTCGGCTAGCTCCATTTGACACCCATTTAGTTGTTGGTACTATGCATTTATATCGCATGAAGTGAGAATAAAAAGGAAAACGAACATCTGGGGAAGGCGAAAGCTATTGTTAACACACCAGCGATGCCTCTCTTCACGACCAACCCTTTTGACCAAGATGTTGGTGAGTAACCACAACAAATGCTAATATAAGTAGCTGTGATTAGACAGCTTTGTTTGGGATCTCGAAGCATTTCAGCCCCGCAACAAGCAGCATCCTGAATTCGCTTAAACCCAATAAAAATATATTTTTAGTCCCAAAATGTGTGTAATTTCCTTCACAGTCACGTTATGTGTTGAAAAAAAAGACGTGGGGCACATATGTTGTCATTAGTTTAGCCAGCTGATCATTAGCTTTCTTTTCAGTATCTCATCGTGTGTTTGATATTAACCTATCAGAGGAAGTGAAAGAATATGCGGTTTTAGAAGAAACCATAATGTAACGCTGTATTTCCTGCGTGGTTAACCACTTCATTTGCATGCAGTGGTGCAGGGGGTGGATACAAAGTACACAAAAACAAATCACCAACAGTACCATGCAAAGCTAGCACACCATCAGACCCAGCGGTTAACGTGCGTCTGCGTTTATTTGGAGCGAACAGTTAGCAGGTTTTCTGTGGGGGGAAATGCTACGAGTTGTTTATTTCTTAATACAATAAATATGTTCGTCCTACCTGTAGTAAAACCTACCAACCCTTTAGTGGTTTCCTTGCTCCAATACATCTATTTATCAGCTCATCCGCCTCTGCAGAAGCCTGTTAATCAGGTGAGTTTGGCGTAGTGAAACAACTAAAACATGCTGGATAGCGGAACTGCAGGACCAGAATAGGTAATTCCTGATCTATGGTGTCCTGTGAGGTCAATTTACAACTTTTGCCTTTCCCTTGAACTGTTCCTGTGCTGCATTTTGATTTTTAATAGACAGTATTGCCGACCCTTAAGAGCCCAAGCTGCTAAAAATAGAGTACTTTTGTATGCAGAGTTGGTGTTTTACTGTTGTATCATTATCATGAGTAATACCGTAAATCCTCTAATACAGGCCCGGGCCTGTATTTGACTCAAGCTCCTCAAGCCCCAGGCCTTTATTGGAGGGAGGGCCAGTATTAGAGGCAGGCCTCTATTTCTATTTGAGCAAAACGAACTACCAGTAGAATGAATAAAAACGGGGTGTCTATTTGAACCTATAAAATACTAGGTTCATTTATTGAACATGTACAGTTACCATAACGTGGTACAGTTTGCATATAAAACATTAACAAGGCTAAATTACAGTAGGGAAATACTGTATTGTAACAAAACAATAGCAAACATACCTGTATTGTATATTAAATGTTATTAAATAATACCGGTATTAGAAAAGGCAACAGCCACCTTACCTCTTCAGTTGTAGCAAAAAATAAAATAAAACCCCTCAAATTCAATTCAATATTTGTCCTGTTTAAAGTAAAATAAAATATAAAAAAATAATAATCCAATTCACTTTAATCCTCATCCAGTTTGATGGAAAAAAAATGTGTGTGTGTGTGTGGGGGGGTCCAATTCAGCTTAATCTTCCTCGTCCTCAGTGTCCTCCTCCTCATCTCTCCCTGTCGTCTCCTCATCACTTGCGCCATCCTCTATAACAAGTTCATTATTGAACAGTTCCTCTTCGTCCTCCTCATTCTCCTCTGCACGTCTGTTCTCATCCTGGCGCAGGCGGGCAGTGGTCAGGGCCTGCCGTCCAGCAGCGCAGGGCTGCAAAGATTACGATACATTACATTTTAGTTTAGCTGCAATTGCAAGTAACAGTGGAAAGGTTCACTCACGAATAAATTCACCTAATGGTAGATGAATTAGACTGATAATAATACATTATTTCAACGTACCTGTCCGTCTCTGAAGCACAGTATGAGGTGGTCCTCACTCCCGTCGGGTTTCACAGACTGGCCACACACTTTGAAGGACTTGATGACCAGCTCCGTGTCCAGCTTGTCCCAAGCAGCAAGAACCCAGTCCACAAGCAGACGGCGAGATGGTGCTTTCAGGTTCCCTCCACTTGTGTACTGCTTGTTTGTGTCGCCAGACATCCATTCTTCATAAGACGCATGCAGGCTTGCTTTGAAGGGCTGGTTCCACACAACATCGGGGGCTTGTATGTACTTGGTGCAGCCTCCTGGGATCACCGCGGTGGTGATGTTGTAGGGCTTCAGTTCCTGCTTGGTGGAGGCGCTGATGTGACAGCGGTACGCATCCCACACCAGCAGGCGCGGGTGGAAACTGAATTTTCCCACCACTGTTTTGAGCCAGGCTGAGGTCAAGTCGTCATTCATCCAGCCGTTAGCAGATGTAGCAATGACTGCTCTGGTGATTTCTTGCTGCATTGCCTTCACTTCACGGACGGCCCCACGGAAAACAATAAAAGGCTTCAGTTTAGAGCCATCAGCCTTAGCAGCGAGAACAACAGTGAGATGGCTTTTCTCATGGCCGGTTGTTTTGAGCGCGACACTTTTTGTCCCTCTTACATCAATGGTGCTGGGAGACACCATATCGAACCAAACAGCAGTCTCATCCATGGCAATTATGTCCTTCTCTGAAATTCTTTTTGAGACGACAGTCTTACTCACATAGTCGACGAATGAGACAAGTTTCTGTGTGAGAAGATCGGGGTCCTTCTGCGCCATTGTGGTGCGACGTCGCAAAGCGAAGCCATTTCGGTTCAAAAACTTTTCCAGCCAACCCCTGCTTGCCAGGAATCGCGCACCTGCATCACTCATGGTTGGATATATTTCCAAAGCCTTGTTTCGGATCATTTTTCTAGACACTCGGTTATGATTTGCCCTCATTAAATGGATCCAGTTACAAAGCTCCGTTTCCAATTCTTCGCTAATCTTTTTTCTCCCTCCTCCTGGGAGCCTCGCTCGCTTCTTGCTAGCTGCGGCTAGATCCATCTTCTGCTTTTTCCAGTACCTGATTCTTCTTGGGTCAATGTTAAAATGTTTAGCAGCTTGCTCCCCAGAGTGTTCCGCAGCATAAATCAGCACGTTCTCTTTGAACTTTAAATCGAAATTTCGCCTCCTTTTCGGCTCTGCACGCTCTGCACCAGCCATGTTCACCGTAGTTACCCTCGTGGTCTATCACCGGCAAATCAAAAGTGAGACGAATGGCACTACCGCCCCCCTGTGGTACTTGCCTGTTACCACATTCCACCCGGCCACAATAAGAGACCGGCCACTATTCACCTCAGCCGACTCCGACACCGGCCACAATTGGAGACCCGGCTTTTAATTGAATACCGGCCTGTATTAGAGGATTTACGGTAATTATTAAAGTAACCACCAGAACCAAATAATTTCTTGCATTGCGCTACGACTGTTTTGTTATTTCACCTCTGTCATTTTAATATTGAGGTAAATCTGTTTTTTTAATGATTCATAAATAAATTGAAATCATCATTGCTTTTCAACACATTAGTCTTGACAGCAGCTCATGTACTTTGCAATTTTGCATTGTATTAAGTAGATTTAACAAACAAAAACATTAGTCTGTGTCCAACTTAAAAGTAATTTGTATTCAACAAGTCTCTACCAAGTTTCATGAAAGTAATCATGTTTATAGTTTTAAAATTTTACAACCCAAACAAACAAGCCAATAAACAGCGATGACACCTCTGTGTCTGCTCATGTTATGTTCAATAAAAACAACAGCATCAGCAGTGGAAACTGCATGCTAAATGTCAGAATTGTACAATGAAAACAGTCTAATGTTGCAGTCATGTTGGAAGGAAGGTTATATTCAGTGCATTTACATGTACATCCAAGTCGATCTAGGTGGATCTATTGCAATAAACTGGGAGCCTTTATCCTAGTTTACATGTACGTTAGAAAACCAAACTCTTGAATGCAGCATGTTCCACTCCTCTAAGGTGGTGGCAGCATGCACCCTTTCATGTTGGCATTCTTCCAGTTAGCCTATAGCAACACAAATAGAAAATGCTGGCAGGAACAAAGCAGACAGCTAAAGAGCGCGACTGTCCAGCCAATATCAGCTCGACTGAGGAAGCCAGGCTCCAACCACAATATATGTTCTTCCAGTACCAGTTTGCTTTCAACCAACCAATGCATATACATGCATTAAAAGTCTATTCAAGGCAGTAGTTTGGTTTGCTGATGCACACTGATTGAAACAGATTCTCTTCTCAGTTTTACTTATTTATTTAACTAAAGCAGGACACAGTCACAATCTGTGAGTCCGCGATGTTGCAGAGTCTGCGCATAGCTAACGCTGCAGCATAGGCATTTCCTTATTTGACACCGGCAGACAAAAAGCTAGAGTTGTTTAAAAAACCCAAAGCTAGTAAACAGGTGTGACCCAAAAGTTGTTTATTTTACCCCAAGAAGCCACGGCATCCTTTTGTTTTACTCTAATATTGGGTAAAGAAGGCTAGAGGCTGATGTTGAGCTTACGATGCTAACGGTGAATTAGAAACAAATGGTTGTCTCTAAAAAATGTCTCAAGTCACTTTTTCAATTACCGACAACTCCCTATTACAGTGAGTTGTATGTGTGAAGTAAATAATGAGTCAGTCGTGGCGTTTTACTTTCTTTAATGAGTCGTTCAGGACTAAAACGGCAAGCTAACGGCAAGATGGAATATTATTAAAGTGCTTTCTATCATTAAACACTAACAGCAGATAATAACAAGGTATTTATCTACAGTGTATGACTCATCTTTGCTTGTCCTGTTGAATCTGCTGGCACTGATCTGTAACCGGCAACAGCCATGAAACTCACAGAACTGGAGTGAGAAGAAAAATAGACTGAAGTAACCAAATTTGACCAAAGGATGTCGTTCTTACTTCATTCTTACATAAGACTCTTTTAGAAAACAGTGTCGCTAATTTGAACTGGCATCAAGGAGCCTTGGATTGTTTATAAGTGGTCAGACCGTGGTGTTAATGTGATGTAATCATGCCCTTTTTACAAAAGATTACGCAATGGCGGTGTAAAGGGGTTATGCTGCGGACTTTTGTTTAACTTGGACATAACTTGCTTTTATTGCAATCGAAGGTGTGCTCATGATGTTTTTTTTGACAAGCTGCTTCTAAAGGTGGCTGTCAATCACAGTCCTTGTGAACTGTCTGGTGATCTGAGCTCCAGCGCTAACCATCGACATATAAATATTAGACAATGGGTTTCCATAGGCTCCAATAACACGTTTTGGAAGATAAATGGGAGGTGGCCACCACCGCCATTTTGACCGTGTCACAGGTTCCGTCAAGCCCAGACAATTCCACAAAAGGGAAGAGAGGTGGAGCTGAGGGTGGGGCTGTAAGGCTGGGATCAACTGACAACACCCGGTCTAACTAGCTACAAGCTAACCTGAAGCTAACCCAAAGCTAACGCGGAGGTGGGAGCTAAGCTAACGGAGGTAGCAACCTAGCTACAACCGGAGTTAACTGTGCACAACACCAGAGCTTCTGAGTCAGAGATACGCCGGGCTGACCGCTGGGTAAAACCGGGTGGAACACAGAGGTCTCCTGAGAGCTCCACAAGCCAGCAGCCGCACAGCAGACAAGCGCTGCTGCGATCTGAGATGCGCAGAGCTGCCGCTGGGGAGAACCGGGTGGAAATGTTTCCATCCCAGAGCTCCACAAGCCGACAGCCCGTGCAGCAGTCAGGAGCCGCGGTCAGACAGAGATGCGCCGAGCTGCGGGGAGGGGAGAACCAGGTGGAAAACATCGGTCTCCGAGAGCTCTACAAGCCGATAGTCGGAACCCAGCTCCACCAACAAGTTATATTTCAACCCATTTTCTAAAGTACAGCATTATGTTAAATGCACTGGGTTTTACCCTATTACATTTAAATTTTATGGTTAAACAGTACATGTTAAAATCTAAGCTCAGCTCGGCAGTGACCTAAAATACATAAATATAATTTTACTTACCGAAAAAATGAAGTGGAGACTCCTTGGACTCTCTATTAGTGCAATTAATGCCACAGCAAGTCATTTTGTCCAACAATTTCACAAATAATATCCAAAAAAGAACACACACACACAGAGACTCAAAATCCTGGAACAGTTTCCAGGCCAGACCGAGGCTCTACTGAGGCCTTTCCACGGAGCTAGCTCTGTGGTCACATGGGTCTGAGGCGGCGGTCACGTGGGTCGGATGCTCATTAATTATACAGAATTTTAGGCTTTTAATACACTTAAACAGAAGAGTGAGAAAAAAATTCACCCCCCTCAGAGTTGTCATGAGTGTAAACTAGATAATTTAAACCAAAAACATGTTCTGGTACCAGGCTGTAAACATGTTTATTTCTGCTGTGAAATTGGTATTTTTAACATGGGAGTCAATGAAGATTTGCTCGCTTCTGACACCAGCCCCCAGCGGATGAGGGTGGAACTGCAATTTTTGTCACTTCCGCGTTTGCCTCAATTTTTCACCCGCATTGTGGGGGCTTGGCGCTAACGGAGAAAAGCTCCCAGAGCTCTACATCACCCCAGTTTACCATCTCAGCTGGTTGTGTTCAACAAGTTAAACAAACTGCCCATGTTTAGTTTGATTTTTAATATAATTTCCTGCTGAAGCTCCCCATTTGATCATGACACCACCCTAACCCTAACCAGTAACTGAAACTGGTTAAGGGTCTTATGTGCACTGAAATAAGCTAATCAGTTTTTATACTAAATAGGCAGATCTGTGAAAATAAAGCCACGAAAAGAGAAATTGAATGGTATTTTTTCTGGGTTATTTTTGAGTTCTCTACTCATCCTGGTTTTGATCCTTTCTTATAGAGAAAGCAACCAGTGAGATGAACACAGCTGAAGACTGGGGCCTCATTCTGGACATATGTGATAAGATAGGACAGTCCCGCACCGGGTAACTCAACTTTCATTGTTTTTAAAATAGTACACAAGCACATTTGAGACATTTTTTTAAAAGGCTTTTATAAAACATGTGAACTGTGGATTAAAAGTATGGCGAAGGATGTTTCTGAATTTCAGGAAAGAATTGCCTTCTCCACATTTTGGAGAAATTGTGCCTGAGAAAGAACGCCCAGTTATCCTCGTGCATGCTCTGTTTACAAGTAGCTGCAGGCCTTGCAGCACACGCTCACTCAAGAAAAGATTTGTGTTTTTTCGACGTCACATTTACATTTATGTGTAGTTATATAAGTTTTTTTTTTTGCATTTTATTATACTTCTTTCTTCTTCCACCCATATTGTACCACTGCTGTCTTTCTACTTCTGCATTTTATTCCTTTTCTGATTTGTTTATGCTTTCATAGATTATGCTTTTCCCCCGTGGGATCAATAAAGTATTTCCTTTTTTGGGATTAACGTCTCAGCTAATAAACACTAGGTTTGTTCTCTGATCAGAATCAAACAATTCTTCCCTGGAAAGTTAGAACATAGCCATAGATAACTTCTTCTAGCAGTAGTCTGAGATGAATTTATTCAAATAGCATGCCAAACTTTAGCTTTAGCAACAAAGGCGTCTGTGCGGAGCCCAACCTTTGCTTTCAGCGCACGCCATCGTTGAAAAGATTCTCTCAAAAAAACTCTGGTCTTATTTCTCACGTCGGAGGCCTTTCTCTTCTTATCGTTGAATTTGAAGACACTTTTTCTCTCAGCCATTTTCAAAAGAACCCGGTGAGAGTGGTAAGGTAGAATGAATGCTTGATGGCGTAAAGCTCTACACATAAACAGAATGCGCATGCACAGGAAGTGAACACTAACCCAGGAACGAGCACGTACAAAGGCATTCCACCAGAGTGATTGACGGTTATGCGGACCAATGGTTCCGATGATCCACTAGTGCTGTAGCGAAGCCTCGATGACGTCGACGGCTCAATTCTAAAAATTCGTTGGCATTCAGATCCGGTAGTCGACGCACCACACCCACTTGTTGCATCCCCAGGAGTTTGTAATTAGAGGTGGAATCTGCCTGTTTTTCCTCTAGTTCGCCCTCTTCTCCGCCTTCACTAACATCTCCGCCAAACACCGAAGACCCGGAACAACGTCCGTCCGCTACTAGATTCCTTTCCTGTTTTGTCTGCCTTCGTCTCCCGACAACGGACAACAACTTCCAGGGTCAGATGCGCTGCTTCGTCTCTACCGCAGATGTAGAAAATCACCGGGAGTGTTTCTCCCTTCATAAGGGAGCTTCTTTCAGACATTAGGAGAGCTGTTTTGGTGGTAGCAGTCTCTCCTCCGTGCTGGTCTGTTTGCTGCTGGGCGTTTTTGGTTTATTTAAACTTGGTAACTTGACCTTAATGTTGGTAAAGCTACTGTTAGCATTTTCGCTAACAGCTTCTTGCGTTTGGATAAGCTGTTACGTTTTGGTTTAGAGTTCATCTTTTTTGTGGTGCAGATCTCCCTTTTATTACATTTAGAGTGTTGTGGGTTTTCGGTTTGGTTTAAAATATCACCGTGAGTTTGGTTTAACCACCCAGTTTAGAGTTTGGACCTTTGGAGATTCTTATTTTAGTCCAGAACCCTGTAATCTTTGCCCAGTGGGACATACTTATTTGTACTTTTGTTTTAATTCCCCACAGGCAGAATTAGTTTTATTAATTCCCAACCTGTGGATGGAAAGATTTTTGTTTTTTTGTAGTTCTGAATAAACCTGATCATCATTTTAACTTTTAAATCCCACATTATTGTCTCTTCCTTTTTGCACACAAGCCAAACTCCCCAGGAAGAGTCGTAACACCACTCGCATCACGCTCATAAGTGACCAAAACAAAGCAGTATGGAGACACTCCATCTTCAACCACCTCTCAGGCAGCAGCCTGCTCTCCCAAGTTCTACACGTCACCATAACATAACCAACCGCAACACAATAAAAGCAGTGTTATACAAAATGGAAGGCCTGTAGGGTTTATTCTCTTACAGTAAAAATTTATCAATTTTTTTGAGGAATTTATTAGAGATTTTTTGGTTTTTATTAACTGTGCAATAGAAAAATAATCATTTGATTAATTGTCTAAATAGTCATTAGAATAGTCGACTATTCGATAAAATAATTGTCAGAGTAATCGTTTTAGAAATAATCATTTACCCCCAGCCCTATGATCCACAAAGAAGAAAAATATCCTCTGCTATAACTGTTGAGGTAAAATTCAAGGAAACAAAAACAAACAAAAAATAATCTTTCTGCAAAAACATTTCTAATTAAACAAAGCATTTTGCTCTTAAGCTTTTATTATGTCTTCAGAATTCCAGATTGTGCTCTTCTGTTCCAGCCCTAAAGAATGCCTCCGCTCCATAATGAGAAGAGTGAACCACAAGGATCCCCACGTAGCCATGCAGGCCCTGACCGTAAGTAACCTGCAAACAAAACAGCCCTGCTGACGATTCAGTGTAGACCGGAAACATTTGGAGGCTGCTGCTTTAGCCGTTTACAGCAACACAATGAAATTACAGGGAAACTCTGCTTTAAGTGTAGACTGTCAACTGTAATTGGAGGCCATTTGCATCCAGGTTGGAGCAATGGTTTTGAAATTGAAGCTATTATCTCCATTTTATCTACACCAGCAAAGTCAAAAGCTGTTTGATTTAAAATAAATAAATAAATAAAATAACAGGTGGGCTGTAGTTTTGGATTTTAAATTTCAAGAGAAAAATCTACATTTCTAACATAAATTTGAGGTTTTATGAGAATAAAAGCAGACAGCCCACTCTGAAGAATCAGAAATACAAACTTCAGTCGAATCGTTGTTGAGTAAACCTCTTAAATGGTCAGATCTGTTGTAAAACCTCATTCTCTGGAAATGTGAAACTAGAATGAATCTAAATCACAGGAAGAGAAAAAGTTGGAGTGGAGCTGCTTACTATTCCAGGAAAACATTTTTTCTTCCAAAACACCAGAAAACAAAATGATGATAAGCATTCACTACTTCATTTCTTTTCTTGAACTAATCTGCTTTGTAAACATTTTTTTACCACAGTAAAGCTACGCTAATTAAAGCTAATCTCTGCTTTGGGCAAGTAGAACTTTGCTATGTTAAATTTACTCACTGTGACATAAGTTGTGGGAATGATCAAAGTTAGTTTAAGTATTGTGGTCTTATGACGACCTGCATGAACATGTTTGTCCTCAGCTTCTCGGTGCCTGTGTGTCCAACTGTGGGAAAATTTTCCACTTGGAGGTGTGCTCCAGAGAGTTTGCCAGTGAAGTCAGTAACGTCCTAAACAAGGTATTTAGACTGTTTTATGCATGTTTCATCATTACCGTAGATTGTGCACTAATTTTCATTGTCATGTATTTTTTTTAATCCAGGGTCATCCTAAAGTGTGTGAGAAGCTGAAAGCGCTGATGGTGGAGTGGGCAGAGGACTTCCGCAACGACCCACAGCTCAGTCTGATCTCGGCGATGATCAAGAATCTACGTGAGCAAGGTGTCACCTTCCCTGCTGTGGGCTCCCAGGTTTGCAATGTGGTGGATTATGTCTCGGTTCTGTTATTTAGTCAAACTAAAGTGAGACAGATCTAATGTTTTCCTTCCCTGAGTCCCATGTGCCTGACACACAACCGTCTTCTCACACAGGCTGCAGAGCAAGCCAAAGCAAGCCCAGCATTGGCGGTGAAGGATCCTGCCACCTCCACAAATAAAAAAGAAGAAGAAGACTTGGCTAAAGGTGAAGAGGCTTTGGGTTTACGACCACACATCAGCTGATTTCTGCAGTCACTGAGCCTGTGACGGAAGATGTTCAGTTCTAGTTTTGTCAGGGTTGAGTTACAGATGTTAAAGATCATTTGCAGATGACACGACAATACTTTACAGTAATGATGATTATAATGAGCTTGTAAATACGGTTAACAATGAACTAAATATAATAAAACAGTGGATGGACGTAAATAAATTATCCTTGAATATAAATAAAACTAAGATAAAGATGTTTGGAAATTGCAACACAATGTCTGAACAGAAAATACATATTAATGGTATCCAAATTGAAATAGTAAATGAAACTAAGTTTTTTGGAGTAACAATTGATAGTAAATTGCCATGGAAACCCCATGTTAGACACATAAAGACAAAAATCTCCAAAAGCCTCTCAATTATAAACAAAGCAAAACTATACCTTAATGGAAATGCACTCCGTATTTTATACTGCACCTTGGTACTCCCATACCTTATGTACTGTGTTGAAGTGTGGGGTTACTTAACAGAACACATTACATCCTCCGATCATATCACAGAAAAGGGCAGTGCGGATCATCCACAAGGTTGGTTTTTTGGAACATACCCATAATTTATTTACACAGTCAAAGCTGCTAAAATGTGTTGATCTCGTAAAATATAATACATTAATAGTTTTATATAAAGCATTCAATAAGTTATTACCATCTAACCTACAATGATTTTTTTATAACTCCAGAGCGAGTTTATACCTCGAGAGGATTTGGATATTTTTCATTGCCGAGAGCCCAAACCACTCAGAAATGTTTTTGTGTGTGTGTATGTGGAGTGAAAATGTGGAACAAACTGGACTTACAAAAAAAGCAAAGTCAAACTGTCCATCAATTTAAATTGTTATATAAACATCAGGTCTGGTCAAAATATAGAGATGAGGGTCTTTAAATTAATCTGTCATTTTACTCAAAGCATAAACATGTGCTTACGGTTCCTTACAATTGTTGCTATATTGCCTGTTAAAATTTGGTATTTGTCTTTTACCATCGTTGATACGAGTTGTGGTCAACGGTAAAATTGTATAGTGTAAACATGTAAATAGTAAATGACCTGTTGCCTATGGTAACACCATCATGCTATAAAAATGTAAAACGAAATAGTTAAACAAAGTAATAGCAAAACTCTTATTTGTTTTTGACTGTATGGGGATTTGGGGGTGGGATTATATTAGTTTTCTTCTTCCCACTCCCTTTCGGGCAGAATAATATGGCCATGTATGTTTATTCCTTTGTATAATATGATTATATTTACCTTGTTTACTTAAATGTGCCATTGCCTGAAAAAAAAAAAAGAATTTGTAACGCTGCTCATATTTCTCCATTCTTGTTTGCAGCTATTGAGTTGTCTCTTAAGGAGCAACGCCAGCAGCCGCAGACCTTGGTGAGTCTCTACCCGAACACCTCTAGCCTGCTCTCCACACACAAGTCTGACGGCAGAAAAGTCCGCGCCATCTACGACTTTGAGGCTGCAGAAGACAACGAGCTCACCTTTAAGTCAGGAGAAATCATCACCATCCTGGATGACAGGTGAGTAGAAACTCTGCATGAGCTCATTCTGCAGATCAGTAAAATGATATTTTAACAAAAGTTTGATTCCCTTCCTGCTCTTCTGTATGTGTCTCGTCTCTTAGTGACCCCAACTGGTGGAAGGGGGAAACATACCAGGGAGTCGGGTTGTTCCCCTCCAACTTCGTCACCGCTGATCTCACTGCAGAACCTGAGATGAGTGAGTACATTTAGTTATAGATCCTGGATTGGAAAATGCTTCATCGTTTATAAACAGCACAAAGACCTCAGTTCATTTAGAGAGATAACGTAGTCAGTATGGCAGTGGCATAAACAGAAAGGGATGGAGCACTTCACATGCACATGCGAACAGCCTTGCTGTGTGCGATGGCATTTAAAAGCTTTTCCTCCTAGATCAATGAGCTCCATAGAACTCTGGAGATCTACAAACTTCAGCTCTTCTTATTTAGACCATTATTTTACTGGACATGCATAACAGAGGAAGTGATCTATTCTACTCTTCTTTACTGTTTTTCATTATCTATACCACTACAGAATAAAAAAAAAAGAATGTTGTTGTCTGCATATACATAAATTGGCCACTTGATTTTATTTTGACTGAGTTTTGCCTTAAGATGTTTAATCTTACAGAAAAAGTTGATCTAAAGTAGATTTTGTAGTTTTCATATTGTTACATATTTGAGTGTGTCCATCATGTTCAGCAGCTCTTTAACAAGCCTCATTTGGGAGAAATGGAGTTTAATTCTAACCTTATCTGAGCAGCGACCAACGTAACATTTTTGTACAAGCGTATGCAGAGTTTTTAAAAGCAAGTGCATCACTGTCTACTTTGTATTGCTCTTTACATGAAGCTATGTTGTTATCTCTAGCCTAGAGTACTTCCTGTGGTATTATCATAATCGTTTTGCTAGAATGGCTGTGAAATGTGAAAATGACAGTGATGCAAAGCAGTGGTTTCCAAGTCGGAGTCAGGAACCCACTGTGAGGCCTGAAACGACAAATAAAGATGATTTTTAGAATGATAAATGCACTTAAAACATCCCTGCTATTAGCATTTAATAGCATAGTGGATTTAAATAAACACATGTTCAGAATTATAGAATATTTCTGTATTGTCAACGTGTTCTTGTTACAGTATTTGTATACTAATGGGTTTACTAATGGTCAGTGTTATTATGTTGGTCTCAATTAAAATGATTTGGGAACTTCTGGTGTAATAGTTTATAAATTAGTGTTTACATGAACTTCTATGAGATTTCTAAGACTTGGTGTTTTTTTTTAAAGATGGCAGCTATCCATATTCTTAGACTGGCTGTTAGCATGTCGATCTAGTCAGCATTGAACTAATTCTCCAAATGGAAGTCATCCAAATAGCTTTTTAACTCTCCCACTGTCCTAATGGATGTGACCCCGCGAGGAAAGTTGACCATTGAGCAGGATTGATGGTTTATCCCTTGGCTCCACGTGGCAGGGGTGAGGAGGGAGCACCACCTCACCCCTGCCACGTGGACCTCAAGGGATCAACCATCAATCCTGCTCAATGGTCAACTTTCCTCGCGGGGTCACATCCATGAGGACAGTGGGAGGGTTAAAACAGTTATAGTGATTGCAACTTACACTTCCAAATATCTGAAGTTCATGTCTATTTTAACTCTTACTATTTTTAACATTCAATCACAAATATTATAAAAATCAATAAACAAGTGATTTACAGACTCGTACGTCCTTTAGTTTAATCTAAAGTCCAGAGCAGCATTCTGTCTTCGGATCAAACTGTTTCTGATTAACGTTTAAGTCTTATGCATATAACTGATCACCTTTATTGTTATTTTCTTCATCTGCTACTTCGTCTGTTGCTTTGAAATCTGCAGTGAAAACAGAAAAGAAGACAGTCCAGTTCAGCGAGGACATCCAGGTGGAGACCATAGAGCCTGAGCAGGAGCCTGTGTATATAGACGAGGTAACGGCATTTCAACATATCACAGTTAAATGGATAAAGATCCTTTTTCTCATTCAAAATGTCAACATTTTAAATGCTCATGTAAATATTAGCATCTGTTTAAGCACGTACCCAAAAATATGTTTTTTTTAAAGATGTAAGTATAAATTATTGCTTCTTGATTGCTGTAAATGTAATTGAATTACTTACGAGTCTGTTTCATGGACTCATTTAGGATAAAATGGACCAGCTACTGCAAATGATCCAAAGTGCAGATCCAACAGACAACCAGTCAGACAGTGTTGAGTTACTGCAGCTGGAAGGTAACACCAGTTCAACAGTTTAGTAGCAGAAACGTACAGGTGTTTTATTATTCTAGATGAATCACAACATTCATGTTGTTCATCAGGTGCCTGTAATCAAATGGGACCTCTTATTGACCAGAAGTTGGAGGATATAGACAGGTATGTATGTACTGAGAGGTTTTGTTCAGGAAAAAGCAAAGTAAAAATACATCAGGCCATCATCTGAAGAGATGTAGTTCAATTCATTTACAGAGATGTTAATGTTTGTGTCATCAGGAAGCACTCGGAGCTGTCAGAGCTGAACGTCAAGGTGATGGAAGCTTTGTCCTTGTATGCAAAGCTGATGAATGAAGATCCAGTTTATGCCATGTATGCCAAGCTGCAGAGCCAGCAGTATTACATGCAACAGCCTGCCGGCGTAGCGCAGCAGGTACAGTCGATTTTAACATTCTATCGTGATGCTTCTGGAAATATGTGTCTAAAAATTCATTTCACAATGTTAAAGGATCCTATAGCTCCCAAAGCCTCTCTCTCTGTCTCTGTGTGTGTGTGTGTGTGTGTGTGTGTGTGTGTGTGTGTGCGTGCGTGCGTGCGTGCGTGCGTGCGTGCGTGCGTGCGTGTGTGTGTGTGTGTGTGTGTGTGTGTGTCTGCAGGTTTACCCTGGTCCACCTGCATCAGGGTCATACGCTATGAGCAGTACCGGGGTGCAAGGTTATAGTGTTCCCCTTGAGCAGCTTCCTGCTGGAACCCAACTTGCTTCTCAGCCTGCTCCCAGGTCAGTTTCACATTCCTAAACCTTCGTTGCACTATAGCATCAACATTTCTCTGTAATTCTGCTCTGTGCCTTGAAAGATGAAGTTTTTCTGCCACCCCTTTGGATATTTTGTTAGTTTGATAATATAGTGAAGTTTAGACCTCTGTACTTCTGTTTATTACAGCTTTGATTATTATTATTATCATTTTTTTATTGGGGGGATGGGCTTATATGGAAACTTCAGTGAATGTGTGTTGTTTATTCTCGTCTCATTTCTTAGTTTAGTCTCAGTCATCATTTTAGAAATCTCCCAAAATCCAGAATTATCAGTGATTAGATTATTTCTATGATTAAATAGCACAAATCAAAATAGTCTACATTGATTTTCACTTTTCCTGCAAGACTTTTTTCTAAATACATTGTCGGGTATAAAAGTGATGAAGGTAAAAATACGTTCATTTTGAAACCATTTTTTTAACGGTTATCTTGAAGTTGGGTCATCAGTTGGCTTGGTAAAATAAATGATAACTATACATATAGATTTAGTTTCACTCATCCCGTATTAACAGAGACTTCTCTCTGTAGGCTCGTATGTGTGCAAGATCTGCAATACAGATTCCCCAGATTTAAAAAGGGGGGAAAAGCCACCCTAACCAACTGCTCCTTATTTGTTTCAAAGAGTAATTTGTTAGGAAATAATGACTCAAAATTGAAATTCAACACTTCAGACTTGGGACCTGGCTTGAAACTTGTCAGTCGTGACTTGGGACTTGAGGATAATGACTTGAGACTTGCAGAATAATAACTTGGTCCCACCTCTGTTCTTTTGTATTTTCTTTGAATCACTGATTTAATTTCCACCTCCCTGATGTATGAAGGACGCTTTGTTACTTTCTCCACAGCGACGCCCACATGTACATGAGCCAGCCGCCAGTCTACACCGCAGCTCCTGGTGCCATGGCCCCAGCAGACATGCAGTCCTACCCAGCCAGCGCCACAGGCCCCGCGCCGTGCACACCTGCAGGCATGACACACACAGGAAACTACAGCGCCCCCTCTGGCACAAGTCTACCACCTCAGGCAGACACCCCACAGCCCCCTTACTCGGAGAAGGCCCTGCTATAGGGCCTCTGGAACGATCCCCCAGTAAAGAAACACACACACTTGAGTAAATAGTTCTCGTTTTTTTTATTATGAGGCAACGGATGGTTTAAAATTCACAGCATTGCAGGCAGACTGTCATTTGTGTTTAATTTGTCAGATACACAAAATATTTTGTCTTCAGGTTAAAACGTGTCCACGGGGTTTTGACTTGGAAGTGCTGACAAGTCCTTTAGTATACATAAATAATTTTGCACATTTTGAGTTTAATATTTTAGGTTTTCACTGACTGAGACATTAGGACTTACTGCAGCTTCCAGCTGGATCGCACACACCCAGCCGATTATCTGGGACTCCTGAAACTTTAACTTTTGACAGAAACATCTGTGGTAACGCTTAATGTTCTCGGGGCTGTGACTTTTTTGGTGTAAGGATATTTGACTCAGAACTTTCTGGCATGATTTTGTGCAAAACATTGTTATTTAGTTATTATTTTCCACATTTGATCTTATTCTCAGCTGTACCCAACATGAAAATATAATAAATAATTTATTTAACAGGTTATGTAGATGTGGTAACAATGGTTGAGTTAAGTGTAGCTTCTGAACTGTGTGGGAAATACACAAACATTCCTTCACATTAGTCAAGTGGACAGACACGACTTCACACAGAAGAAAATCCATACACTACCACAGCTGGCGTCTACTCAAAAGAAGGTGCAGACTTTTTGTTTACTTTTTTTTTTTATTTAACTCAAAATCAGAGGATTATCTAATCTGATAAGATTGTGCTGCCGCTGCCACCTTTTACACGTGTCGTCCGCCTTTAGAAGTGCTGAAAACCGAAGTAACTATTTTGTTCTGGATGGAAAAGAAACGAGAGGAACTGCAGCATGCACATGACTCGGGTAAATACTGTAAAGTAGTAGTGAAGCGGCAGGATGAACTTCTGCAGCAGGTGCATGCTCCTGGTGAACTGCAGGTGTAATTAACCCCACATGCCTGAGAGTTAGTCCTCTGTTCAGCATCACCGGCCCAGACTCTGTACTGCAAACTTTCAACCTAAGCCGTTTGTCCTTCTTTTATAAATGCAGGTTTGGTTGTTTCTATGAGGCGTTTGCTAACAGACACCCTTCTGTCATTGCTGAAAAGTGTTATTTTTTGTAGTGCGTTCTAATTTATGCTTGATAATTAAGACCAGTTTAAATGAAGATGTGCAGGATGTATGTATTCAGAGACTAGAGCAGGGTGTGCCATATTCTGCCCAACTTAGTTGTATATGGAGCTCATGAGACGTGATTATTGTACTGTAGGGTTACACGCCGACCTTGGAACTGACAGAACCCTGATTCGTTTACTTTTCTCTTAAACCTGAGAACATTCAGACAGAAGAAAAATGGCTGCTAGGAATGTGGGTATAATTCGGCATTTGTAAATTGTGTTTCACTAAAAAAAGAGGCATTCAAGATGGCGATCAATACTTCTCTTAGTGTTGCACTTCACGTTTTCCTGGTTCTGAGTCCTTTTGATGGCTTTTACATGTAGAGTTTCTCAGAAAGTTGATGTTTAGAAAAACTGATAGGATTGCAATAAGCTAACGCAGTGGAGAAGTAAAACCAATGTATATAACGCTGAAGGAACGTCATGAAGGAACATCAACGTTTTTAAATATGGAGGTGAAGTTTCAGTCCTCACCGGACAGATTTCTGTCTTCATGTTACTTCTCGTCATCCCTCTAGGAATATGAAACTACTCCTAACTGAACTTTATTTCCTCTTCTACATTTTCTACAATTTATTTAAAGCACTAATTCAAACAAATTTTGCCACCTTCAGTTTGAAGCAAGAACTATAAATGTGTTGGTTCTAAAAGGGTCAACAAAGGTCAAAGTAGCCGTTGTTCCAGGACTGTGAGACAAAGAGCCAGTTTATCATCGTCATCCGATCCAAACGGAGCATCTTACTGCAGCGCTGTATTGGACTTCAGCCCCGATGTGAAATTTTCTTTTGTTCAGGATTGAGATGCTGCCTGTTTTTAAGTTTAAAATAATGTTATTGTAAAAGTTCTGTCTAAACTTGTACTCTGTTGTTTCTATGTGTTATTTTAACCATACCTAATAATTTTATTCACAATAAAACCAGGCCAAGTGTACAGACTAAAAACATGTTTGGCTGCTGGAATTTTATTCTCTTTTTTTTTTTTTTTTCCCCAACTCTTTACACACACACACACACACCCACCATGATTTAAAGCTTGCAAAATACAACAAAAACATAATTTTCAGTTTTAAAACAAGACTAGGAAGTAAGATGTAAACGCAAAGACAACCTCCTCTGGTTCCAATTTTTAGTGAGGGACTAAACCTCTGCAAAATCATTCAAATTTGATGTTTTTTTTTAATTATTTATTTTATTATTATTTGGCTCAGGGAAAAGATGCATTCAACCTGGTAACTTTCATTTAATAGTGACCTTTCTTACCAATGGAAAAGTGATTTTCTTCACCTTTCAACTCAACATTGAAACATTTGACAAATGATGTTTTAACTCATAAATGAGAGTTGACAAGTGGCTCATTTTATTTTGTGATTGCTGTTCTTGTCCTAACATTGGGAACTGAGTTCAAAATTAGCAAAAGTAAAAAAAAAATTAAAAAAGGACATTTTGTCTCTCTTCCGGTTCTAACTGTGTTATTCACCTTTAAGTAGGACTTTGCTATAGGATTGTTCTCAACATTTTGTGACCAATTGCCACCAATTGTTTATCCCTAAACAAGAGTAGCTTGAAAAGTAACATCTGACAGCATCTTTGTGTTTTCTGGCCAATCTCGATAATTAATTCACACATTTATCTAATGTTGTAATTTAGTTGGTGTATCAGTCCTTTTGACAAAGCTGTTTTATAAGAATCAGTAAATTACTTTTCTGAATCATCAAACCAATCAGGACAAACATTGTTTCTTTTAAACCAAAACATATCGTATCATTGAAAAGCCTGAATTTGAGTTTTGAAAAGCTTTCCCTCTTAAACAGGATTGATATGTTCAACCTGTTGCACCAAAGCCTATCCACCTTAACATTTTTCAGCCACATCCTTCTGGGTTCCTCATCTCTGGGAGGTGGTGAAAACTCACATTGTTAGTGGTTCTTCCACATACACAGAGCAAATAAAGCTTGATTTTACCTTTGCTGACATGTTTCGATGTCTACTGCTGCCTTCGTCAGAGCATCTGCCAATGTTGGTGCCGTCACGTCTGTTTAAAGGGAAGTGCCACCACCAACATCGGCGGTTGCCCTAATGAAGGCAGAAGTAGACATCCATGAGCCTACCCAAAAAAAAAGTGGATAACACATCTTCAGTTCTCTGGTTTAGATCCAAGAGCTACAGGTGGCCAGTTCCAACGTTTATCACCAACACTAAATATTAAGATTAAGTAAGTGTGTGTTTGTGTGTGTTTTGTATATTTATTTCATTATATCTATAAAGGGTTGGAGATTAAGTTAGAACACAACATATACTGTAGTATATATATATATATATATATATATATATATATATATATATACTGTATATATATATATATACTGTGTATATATATATATATATATATACCGTATATATATATATATATATATATATATATATATATACAGTATATATATACAGTATATATATATATATATATATATATATATATATATATATGCACACACAAAACTTTAACTCATCTTCTTTTCTGCCACTAGATGGAAATCTGCTTGTTTTAATAATAGCTGCTCTAGGATGATTTGACGAGAAGCCATTGTGGCATTTTAACTGCTTTTCTCTTTCTGGTAAGATTTTATTGCCAGTTTACATCAGATTAACAGGAAATTCACACATTGTTGGAGCAAGTATTTTTATTTTGTTCAGCTGTTCAAACAGGAATGTTTCACTGTAACAGGCCTTTTGTAAAATTCATCATTTGTAGAATGTCTTCCTAAAATCTTGAGATATGATTTTTCTTCATCCTGTGGCTATAAAGAGACAAGTGTGACCACCTCATTAGCACAGCAATATAACAATTCAGCCTCCATTGCAGAGTAAGCAGTGTGCAGAGTCCAACATCCTAACTGGCTCGTTTCGAGGGAGATGATTGTCCAAGTATTTTAGTTTGTTCCAGACACCAGCATTCAGGGATCATGCCCTCGGGGAAGACGCTCAAGCTCGTTCTGTATGAGCTGCTGCAGTTTGCAGCACTCATTGTGCCCGTCTTTGTCATCATGGAGCGGTTCGCCCTGCTCATAAGAGACGTGAGAGGACAGGATGTGACGGCGTACTGGCTGGTGGTGTCGGCCTCTATAGCTTATGTGACCTCTGTGACCCTGCTGGCTTGGTTACCTCTCAAATACGTGATCCTGAAGCAGCGGAGGTTCATCACAGAGATCACACAGTGGTGAGTTCAGTCTGACTTGTGTCTTCAAATGAAAATGTGACGAGCCAAATAATTTCAAACATCCAAACCTTCAGTTAAAATAGGAACACTTCAGGAATGAGGGAAATTTTGAAATGGCAATAAAATATTTCTAAAGGAACAATGCCTTTAACTGCAGCTGGTTGATGCTGTAATAAAAACCTTAAACATGCCTCTGTTTAATAAATGTAAATTATAACAAGCAACATTCATTGCCTTTTAATTTTTTCTCAAAAAGAAATGTTCTCTTCTCCAGGAGACCTACAGCTCTGGCGTATCTCATCCTGTGTACGTTCCCGTGTTTTGCCATTGTGATAGCCAGCTCTAAGGTAATGACTGTCTTCAGGATTGATTGGTTCTGTCACCACGGTGCACCTGTTGGTGTTTAGTCCTGTCATGCTGCGGCTGGGTCCTTGAAGAGGCACATATTTGTTATAAACAGCCCAGTTGTGGCACGAACCTAGTTTACGACCGTCTGTGTATGTTAAGGTGCAGCTATTATTCATCGAGTGTCAATAGATGCTCTGAACCACAAAACAATTTCTTTGTTTTGCTCTTAAAGGTGTGGTTGACTGAACGTGATTTTATTGATTATTTCTGATAATACAGCATGGCTCTATTAAATACCCGCTCTGTTAACAATAAGTCCTTCCTGCTCAATGATTTAATTCTCTCTTAAAAACCTGAATTTTCTGTTTCTGACTGAAGTTTGGCAGCAAACATCAGATTATTCTGGTCTGATTGAACTCTGCCCAAGTGGTTATTCTTTTCTTAGAGTATTTTCCTGAGTCTAAATGCTGACAGTGTTTGTCCTGAGGATGTTTATATTTCAGATCACCATTGCATTTTCTTTAACTTGTCAGTTTCTGCGTCCCCACCTCCTGCTCGCCGTATGGTTAGTTCTCGTTTTCTTAATGAGAGCACAGCTAGCAATTTTTCTGCTGCTTTTGATCCACCCTGTTCTTCTGATAACGACCCAGATTCCTTAACTTCTCAGTTCAACGAGCACTGCCTCTCCATTCTGGACAACATCTGTCCTGTCAGAACCAGATCAGTTCCTGCAGTGAACCCTACTCCCTGGTTTAATGACGGCCTTCGCAGCCTGAAGCGCCAATGCAGAAAAATTGAGCGTTTGTAGAAGAAAACCCATCTCCACGTCCATCTGCTGCACCTAAAGGATCTTCTGACATCCTTTAACTCTGCAGTCAGAGACGCTAGGGTTTCCTATTTCTCCAACCTGGTGTCCCAGAGCAAAGGGAACCCCAAGGAGCTGTTTAACACCATCAGCAGCATCGTCTCTCCTGCCTCTCCTACAGCCTCCATCCACTCTGTTACAGACTGTGAGAACTTTCTGTCTTTCTTTGTGGACAAAGTCAATAAGGTTAGATCTAGCATCTCTCCTTCAGCCTTATCGCCGCCTCTCCCAACTCCAACCAGGCCCATCATCCTAGATTGCTTTGCTCCTGTTTCTTTGCCTGAGTTAACCAAACTAGTTAACTCTATGAAGACCTCTGCATGCCCCCTCGACATCTTACCCTCATCTTTGTTTAAAAGTGCTTTTCAGTCCATCTGTTCCAGCTTGCTCTTCATTATTAATACTTCTCTGGTCTCTGGTCAGGTCCCTGCTTACTTTAAGAACGCTGTAATCCACCCGCTTCTTAAAAAAACAAGTCTTGACCCCTCTCTCTATAGCAGCTTCAGACCCATCTCTAAACTTCCGTTCATCTCCAAGATCTTGGAAAAGGTTGTGGCTAAACAACTCACAGCTGCTCTTGATGAACATAACATCTATGATAGCTTACAGTCAGGTTTTTGTAGAGCTCATTCTACTGAAACAGCTCTTCTTAGGGTCTCTAATGACCTTCTGACTCACAGTGATGCAGGGGACTGTTCTGTTCTGGTCCTGTTGGACCTGACTGCAGCCTTTAACACTGTTGACCATCACCTGCTACTGGAGAGGCTCAGAGACTGGGTAGGCCCATAAGGAACTGCTCTGGAGCGGTACTCCTCTTATCTTTCTGAGCGCTCCTTTTCTGTGGCCGTCTCCAAGTTTAGGTCCTCCAATACCTCCCTTACCCATGGTGTCCCACAAGGTTCTGTGCTGGGGCCTCTTCTCTTCCTCTATCTCACATATGTCAGAGTCAAGGCCCGCGGGCCAGATGCGGCCCGCGGAGCATTTTTATGTGGCCCGCGAGATAAATATCAAAAATATATTAAAACTGGCCCGCTGGCCGATTTTACCGCAAAGACTTCAACTCCCATGATGCTTTGCGGTGTCAGCGCGGAGCCGACGAAGCCCCCTCCTTTGTGTTTTTTCCACCTGCTGCCGGTCTCTGCAGCTCCGCTGTCTCGGACAAACTACACTCCTCTCACTCAGCGCCGAGTTCACTCAGCTGTTTTCTGACATTGAAGCCCAGAAACGGAGATTCTAGCCGCTCAGTAATGTGTTCACGACTGACAGAGAAAGTTTTTCAACCAACGTCCAGACAGAGCTGATATAACTCCAGCGAGCAGCGACACGCTCAAACCAGCACGACTCTGTGGTTGTGTTTCCTCCCCGACACACAGCAACGTGGTCAAGCTGCTCAGACATGTTCATCAGCACAAACCTATGTGAGCACCTGTTGTCATCTAATCTTGTCATTATTATGATGAAGATGAACAAAATAACAGGAGTCTCCTCAGCTCAGATCATCCCCATAATGCAGGTATCTGGCTGGAACAGGTGAGCATCACAGTAAACCAGTGGAACAAACTGAGCTTTAAATATGTTGGTTTTATGCTCTTTTTCTGCTCCAAAACTTGAAAGTTAACAGATGAGATGTTGCATTTTCATTTAAGATAAAATGATATTTTTATTTTGTTGTTGGCCCGTGAGAAAAGATTTAACCTACAGTAAACAGGAAGTGGAAAGGCTGCAGATAGATGAATAGAATAGAAAATCCCTTTATTGTTCCTCAGTGGGGAAAGCTAGACGTCACAGCAGCGATGACACGTATTACAGGAGAAAAAAAGTAGAATAAAAAATAAGAAAAATGAATAAACAAGAAAACATAAATCCTGAATAGATTTTAAAAATGCTGAATATACCACAAGTAATGAATACCACTGATGCCTTTTATTTAAAACTGACTTGCTTGTGTGTAATTTGGTTATTCCACATTCAGTGTTAATGCAGAAATAAGTTTGTTTCCAAATTTAAAGGTTCAAAATTGCATATATGTTGATAAAGAAAATGTGCAAATTTGCCGTCACTTTTTCAAAAAATATTAAGTTTGGCCCTCGACTTCGTCCCAGAGTTTCATTTCGGCCCCGTGTGAGTTTGAGTTTGACACCCCTGCTCTATCTGCTCCCTCTTCAGCACATCCTGAGCTCCTTCAAAGGAATCTCCTACCATCTTTATGCAGATGACATCCAGCTGTACATCTCCTTTGAGCCCCATGAGATGTCTAAGCTGCAGCTGTTACACACCTGCTTAGACTCTATCAAAACCTGGATGGCTGGGAGCTTATACAGACAAGCTGGTTCCCAAAGTCAGACTCTCTTGGTCAGCTTGCTTCTCACACCAAACCTTCCGTCAGGAATCTTGGTGTGACCTTTGACCCAGCTCTCACCCTGGATTCTCATGTCATTTCTCTTGCTTGCTCTTCCTTCTTCCATCTCAGGAATATTGCAAAGCTGAGTCCCATTCTGTCCCGCTTTGAACTTGAGACAGTTATCCACACCTTCATCTCCTCACGCTTAGACTACTGTAACTCTCTTTTCACGTGTCTGATCAGAACCTCCCTGAACCGTCTGCAGCTGGTTCAGAATGCCTGTGCTCGGCTTCTGACCAAGTCCTCCAAACACACCCACATCACCCCGCTTCTCCTCCAGCTTCACTGGCTGCCAGTCAACTTCAGGGTTCATTTCAAGATCCTGGTTATGGTCTATAGGGCCTTACATGGACAAGCACCATCTTACATTGGTGATCTTAGTCCCTACACCCCCAGCAGGTCCCTGAGGTCCAGTGATCAAAGCCTACTGGTTGTGCAGCACCAGGCTAAAGACCAAAGGTGACAGATCATTTGCTGCTGTGGCCCCCAGACTCTGGAACTCTCTCCCCCTGAGCCTGAGATCAGTGGACTCAGTGGTCTCCTTCAAAAAGCAGCTGAAGACTCACTTGTTCAAGCTGGACTTTTGTATGACCTTCTTCACCACTCTCTCTTTATTCTGCTCTCCCCACCTATTCCACCTTCCTCAGGATCCACTGATTTCCCTCTTTCCTGTTCACTCTCTCTTTCTTAGCAGTTTTTTAAAAATCACAGTTGTCTATTTTTTTGCTCATTTACATATATTTTTAACCATTTTCTAATTTTTTTTCATATTTTTACATTTTTTGTTTTTTGTGAAGTGCCTCGTGATTTTTATCTTGAGAGGCGCTATAGAAATGATATTTTCTTCTTCTTTTCTTCTTCTTCTACTTGGTCACTGCAGGCTGAACATGAAAAGAGTCTTCACCTATCTCCTGTGTTAATGGTGAAATGCTAGGATTTGAACATCTTCACATTGTGATGTCAGACTGTGAATTTGCTTTTATGGCCTTGCCCATCTTGGCTCACTCCCGCCCACAGGAAGGCTTATTTGTAGAGAAGAGAGAGAGCAGAGAGTGTCTTGGTGATAGTGACTTTGCAACAATGTTGAATGCATTCTGTTAGCCAATCAGAAGCAAGGTGTGTGCATAGCATTAATAATAAGGAGCAATCCTGCTGTTTTCAGCCCACCTTTGTCAGAACAGGAGCATCATAGCTTTTTTAATGACTCATAAGGCATTGAATTGCACTAGAAAACACTGCAAACGTGTTGAATAAATCAGTAAACTGCACCTTTAAGCCTCATGTTTTACTGTTTATTAGTAGAAAACCATATTATCTTGTCAATTAATTCAGCAAAAATAAAAATTCTGATCTCTGAAGGTCACTTTCCTGCATGTTTTAGATGTATCTCTGCATCAGTACACCTGCTTTGATACAATGGGTGATTAACAGGATTTGGAAGAGTTGGTGAAAAATAACTAAGCCACCGAATTAAATATTTAAAACTGGTCCAGAGTTTGTCACACGTGCTGTGAAAAACAGGGATTCTAGCACGCATACTGTACATCTACACCACAGCAATAATTACAATTATCAGAGCTAAAGATCACCTAGGGGTCAGATCTTGTCTATTTTACTCATGATAATGCAGAAAGACCTGGAAGTTATTTATATAATCTCAATGACCTAAAATTTCCAACAGATTATTACATTGTTTCTCTCATTAAAACATTCCCATATTTTTAGACATGTTTTTAGTTTATTAGCATCACTTAGTATCCTTTATTACACTCATGTTGGTATAGAAATAGATTGTAATAGTCCAAAGATCAATCAGAGTTCATGAAATGATTAATAAAAAAAAATAAATTCTACTTTATTTGATCTTGATGCAAGAACCAGGAAGCTGTTGTGCTTTAAACCAAGCATGGTTTTGAAAGCACGCTACAGGACTTTGGCACCATTACACATAAAAGGAGAAGGTAGTGAAAACTCAGCCACGAGACTGCTGCCTGTTTTAGATACTCAGTAACAGCTAGTGGATAACACAGGTTGCATATTAACTTGGTTACTATCAACTACGAACTGAAATGCAATTAACTTTTACCAACATGCTTGTTGTTTCATTTAACCTCTAATTTACTAATAAATGAGGAGGAAGTTAAATGCCGATGTGTTTGTTGTAGATCCAGGTGGACTGTGGAAAACGCTACAATGATTTCTCTGAGCTGCCTGCGTCCTTGGTGCTTTTCTCTCTCGTCTGTGTGGATATCGTAGAGAGGATCCGGCATTGCAGGCTGATGGGCAAATGTAAGCAAGGCTGATTAATTATTTATAAACACAGTGGGAGTAGTTTAGCTTCATTTTCATTTGAACTCTGCTCATTTATTCATTTCAATAACACTTTGTTTTACTGGCCAGTCAGTCATTACGCTGTCGTTAACATAACATATTTCTGTAAATTGCAATGATTTTCTAAGGCCTAATGTCAATAAAACAACTGCAAAATATATTTCATTTTATTATGTAAACTTGTAATGATATAACAGTAATAGACAAATAAAATAGGCTCTTGCTACCCGTAGATCCACCAGAGGCCATTATGTAGCGGCATGGGTATGAGAGGCTTTTGACAAAGGTATAATATAATAGTACAGCTTAACAGGTTTAGGCGCTAACTTGTGACAATAGCTCATAAGAGGATAAAAATAATTTATCTTCATGCTGTTTGGGCCCTAGGCCTTTTGTTGCTACACACGTTTGACCCCCAACAGGGGACGCTCGGGCCCGAAGGGTTAATTATTTGGAATGGTGACTGCTTGAGATTGGACCGCGCATAAAAAAAACTCTTAGGAGTTGCATGATTTTATTGTGTACGTTGGTTCCACGTGATTAAAATAAGTTTAACCAATAGAATATTTCTTTCCCTTTACTAATGAACTCTCGTCAAACTAAATATTTCATTGATGTGAAACAGAAAATCATGTTGACTCTGCATGCTTTTTATGAACTAAATTAACTGGATTTTATTGATGTCATTCATTTTTTAGTTGGATGATCTGAGCTTGGGGCTGGGGTGTCTGTGCACCTGTCTGTCTAGACCAAGTTGCACATGCTCATGCTCCCTGTGATTTAGGCGTCATCCCAGTTTGAGATACTAGTGACTACTTTTTGAACTCCTCTGTACCACTATCCTTTACAGTCATGTTCCTTTTTTTAATTTTATTGATTTATTTTTGCTCACTGCCAGCTGAAGAACTATACACAACCTTTTAGTGTGTATGTATGCATATATATTTCAGTTAATTAATAATTATTTGTTTTTACGTCCCTTGGCCTCGCTAGGAGCACGGTGTGATTTAGGGAGTAAAGATGATTTTGCACCGGAATGAAACAAACAACTTTTTAAACTCTCTGGAGGAAATTTATTAACATAAACGAAGCTCTTGGCAGAAAAGGGAAACAAAAGGGTCATCCAAGTACTGGGAATTAATAAACAAAAGGAATTTCTAACTAATAAAATGTTTTTTTATAAACAAGAGGCACAGAGAAAAAGGGCTGGAATAATGCTACATGGATAAACACAAAATCTGCACCAAAAGGGTGAGCAAAGTCTCTCAGTAGACGAGGACACACAGCTACTACTATTATTAATATAACCAAAATTACCACTCAGGTAGCAAAACAAGGACCACTAAGGTGTCAAACCCAAACGAACCACTCAGGTAACAATTGGAGAACCAGTCCAGGTGTCAAACGAAGACTTTAACGTCTATAATGCGAGGAGAGCTAGAGAGGAGAGTAAACACCTCCGTGTCGACGCCCATCTGTAACCTCTCCTAGAACGACAGGCAGAGCTCCCTTTTAACAGGGAGGCACAATTGGTCTGACAGCCCACAGCTGTGCAGGCAGAGTACCGAGGGCCTCTTGTGGCCAAAAGGTGAAAGTATCTGTCACTTTTGTGCTAAAACTGTAATTAACTGATTTATTTTGATTTTCAACATTTAAAAAAAAAGCGTGGCATGATGGGAAATCTGTTCAATCCTAGCAGTAATCCGCGAACTGAATCATGAACACAATCTATTTGTTACCAAAACAAGAAGGAACCAAGTAGAAACTTCATTGTACCCTTAGGTTAGCGCTACACAAGTTAATTATGTTCGTCCTACAAACGTGATCCAGTTATGTAGAAACTAAATGTAAGAAATAAGACTTGAACAGATGATTTAGATTTTTTCTGTGCATTATGTCAATTTTGGTTGTTGTTGGACATGATTATGTTGATTTAAATTTGTCAATGCAAGGAAATTTAGTGTGTTCTGCTTTGTTAATAATTAACTCAAGTCTACGTCAATTAAAGATTTTTACAGAAGAAACAAGTATAAATTGTGTAAAGTGTACACAATGTGATTTAGCATATTCAAAGACCCGCCAAGAGCAGTTAGATGATGAATAAATAACCACATGCATGTTATCCAGAGTTCACTGACTAACATCTGGTCTGTTCTTTTGCAGCTGACAATCTGGACTTGGATCTGGACATGTCGGGTCTCGTTCTCACCAACCTGCAACAGGTGACCACCGTTTCAGGCCAGCAGCATGCTGATGAAGGTCTCACCCAAAACCAGCCAGAGACTAGAAATGGTATCACCTCTGGCAGACAGCAGGATTTCACAGACACGCCCAGTCGATCGCCTATCAGCATCCGGCTTCCTAGCGCTGCCTACCTGTACTCCTCATCCTCCCATAGGACTTACTCAGGTCCTCTCCATGTTCTGTGGAAGAAAGATGGAAGGTCAGAGGTGTTTGTGGAGGGTTTCATGTTCTGGTTGGACACTGTGGAAATGGTGCGGGTAGCAGGGGAACCATCAGTCTTCTACTCAGCATGGGTCTTCCCAGTTTACGTCTTAGCTTTCCTCTCCTGCCTGCAAATGATAATAACGCCTCACAGCTCCTTGTTGTCTTTAGCTGGAGTTGCTCTGCAGGATCTTCCTTTCTTCATCATTCGGGTGGGTCTGATCGCTGAGTTTGGTTTTGTAACGCCTATATTTTATCCACTGAAAAATGTTCTGGTCACCCTGACTTACATCTACTTCACGTGGCTGACCAAGCTGAGGATTTTTAAAAGGCAGAGCATGTTTTGAAGTGGATTGATTTCTTTAGATAAGAAAGGAGCCAAAGAAACTTGGAGCTCAAGAGACTTGCATTAAGAGACCAGTCGTCAACATACAGCTGTTGGTCAAAAAATTAGAATATCACGACAAAGTTGATTTATTTCAGTAATTCCATTCAAAAATTGAAATGTGTATATTCGATTCATTTATTACACACAGACTATATTTCAAATGTTTATTTCTTTAATTTTGATTATTAAACTGACAACTAATGAAAATCCCAAATCCAGCACTTCAGAATATTAGACTATTGTGAAAAGGTTCGATAATGAAGATCCTTGGTTCTACATTCTAATTAGCTAATTAGATCAAAACACCTGTAAAAGCCTACAAATGGTCTGTCAGTCTAGTTCTGCATAATCATGGGGAAGACTGCTGACAGTTGTCTGAAAGATGACCATTGACACCTTGCACAAGGAGGGTAAAACAAAAAAAAGTGGACTGCAGCTGGAGTCAGTGCCACGCACAGACGTGTGCAAGACATGGTTTCAGCTGTCACATTCAATGTGTCAAGCCATTCTTGAACAAGAGACAGCGAAATAGAAAAACTGCGGGGTATTGTGAAGAGGAAGATGCAACAATTCAGAAGAGCTGAAGGCCGCTATCAGAGCAACATGGGCTCTCATAACACCTGAGCAGTGCCTTAGACTAAAGGACTCCATCCCACGCAGCATTGCTGCAGTAACCCAGGCCAAAGGAACCCCAAATAAATATTGAGTGCTGTACATGCTAACATTTTTCATGCTCATATGTTTCAGATGGCCAACATTTAAAAAAAAAACTTTTTTTTGCATTGATTTTAATTGATACTCTGATATACTGAATGTAGGATTTTCACCAGTTGTCAGTTATGATCATCAACATTAAAGAAATTAACATTTGAAATATATCTGTCTGTTTTGTAATGAAAGGATCTAATATGTAAGTTTCACTTTTTTAATGGAGTCACTGAAATGAATCGGCATCATCATGATAGTGTAATTTTATGACCAGCACCTGTAAATTAAGAATAATTAAGTTGTGGGTTGTTTTACACAACCTTTCATTTTAATAACATTTTGAAATCTTGACTTATTTATTCATATCTGAGTTTACGTCTGCTACATTTTTCAGTTTCTTCCTCTGCATTTGTAAACCAATTTATGAGTAAGTTTTCTTTTGTACATTTTAAATATATACCCAACACATTAAATGTGTTGTTATCGTAATTTTCCTAAAGGACAAAATCGACATGTGCTTTTTATATATATATATGTCAAAATCATTTTCTTTTAGGCTCTCAGCAGCTTTTTTCTAAGAAACTAAATAAACAAAATATTCAAGCTTGCTACAATATGTTCTTAATTAAGATCTAAACAATTGTTCTGAAAATGAATTTTAACCCTTTCATGCCATAATGCTCTCTTGTGTTTGAGGTTAGAGTTAGGTGGTATTGCACACTTTATAATAATTATACAAATATTACTCGTTTATTTGATTAAAACATATTTTGTAAACAGGGGTTGATTGAAAGTGCATGTTAAAACAGTGCAAAGTTTGCTTTTTTAGAAACTGCACATGTGAAATGTAGAAAACTTTTGTGGAATTTTCATTTTTGTTTAAAGGCCTTTGGGGTAAAATCCTTTTACGTATTTTAATATCTACATTTGCCTGTTCGTATCACTGCAGAATGTCGCCTGAATTCCTTCACCAGGACATGTTTCACAGAATTGCATCCACTCTGAACTCGGTTTTGGTCCCTGTGATGGATGAGCTGGTGCTGCTGGGGAAGAACATTTAAACGGAGCTCCCAAACCAATTCCTACCCCAAAGCACTGAATTTATTGAAGGAATTTAGTCATTTAAATGAGAAATTGCTGCATTGCTGCTGATAAAGTAATACATTTATGTTAAAAATAAATTTAAGGGTTTTACTGATGATGTGATTAATATGTCACCAAATAAGGAGCTGTGACCTAGTCTGGAGCACCTCTTCATCCCTAGAGTGGCCCAGAAGATTCCAATGTGGAAATCTCACCCCTCAGTCTTAAACAACAACATTTCTGTTGTTCCAACATCACATATGAAAGTCCAGGAGAAACTGCTACTGGTCCACCTGAATGAATGAAAAAACACTTATCACTGTGTGGGGTTGGAGTTGAAGATGTCTGCTTCACCTGCTTCAGCAAACCTATAGTCATCTGGCAGCTTTCAGAATGTTTCTTCAGTTTATTCAACGCAACCCAACCTGATCTATTATGTACGAAGCTCCAGAAGACACCTGTTTTAAAGGCTATCTGACAAACAGACTTCATTTTGTGACTCTGCAGTTGTTGCATTTCAGAAATGAGACGGAGTGCAGAAACCTGGTGGAGCACTTTATGGAATGATGTGAGAAAAATTATCTCATCTGAAATGACAAAACAAAGGAGACGAATGTGGATTTTAGAATATGGGAGTAGGAGTAGAGGTGGATGAGGGATGTAGATCCATCAGTGATCAGCTGACCAGCCAACTGGGCTGGAGACAATACTGAAGCTGTAGAGATAGAGCAGAGTAGACATCCTGAGGAAGTCTGTCCAGAATCTTGGTGTGACCTTTGACCCATCCCTCACCCTGGATTCTCATGTCCATTCTCTTGTTCACTCTTCCTTCTTTCATCTCAAGAACATTGCTAAGCTGAGTCTCATTCTGTCTCGCTCTGAACTTGGGATTGTTATCCACACCTTCATCTCCTCACGCTTAGACTACTGTAACTCTCTTTTCACGTGTCTGAGCAGAACCTCCCTGAACCGTCTACAGGTGGTTCAAATGCCTGTGCTCGGCTTCTGCTTCTCCTTGGAGCTTCTAGAGTGAATTTTACAAAATGAGTATGCTTCACAACTAAGAACATGATGGGAAACATTTAGCATCTTTTGCACAAGACAGTAATTCAATACCATTGTCTTCAGTCACAGGTTTCTTCTGATCTGCTGCACATCCAGATCCTTCCTGGCTGCAGCTTGAACCTCCTTTACCAATTAGCTTAAAGACACTCAAGTTATATTTTCCCTCTGGGTTTAACGAAATACCTTTGAATGTAATTATATTTTATTTACAGGTATGAAAACTACAATGAATCTCCCCTAATTTCCTCCCAGCCATGATTACCCTCCCTCTAACTGATTCATTCTGTAATCTGCTGGAAGGAATTAGTGCAGAACAGGTTGCAAATGATGTCTGATGTGATGATGAGCACTTATTCAGCTCTTTATACTTCAGATGATCAATGGAAAACACAGTAGTCTGCATCTATTCCTTCTTACATGAGAGTCAAGGATTCATGTTCAACAATGAAGGGTTCTCCATAAAGGTTTGCACATTTTATTAATCATCAAAGGAAAGTTTAATGCTCACTGACAAGAATAGCATTAAATAATCCTCTCTTAATGCATCATCATCTCCTCAACATCTTATAAAGTTTTCAATTTTTACATGATTTATGATTAAATTTGCACAACATGGAACATGAAAGCTAGTATGTCAGAAAAATATCTGCTATAGAAAGCAGCAAATTTGCATTTTACTGATCAATCATCCCATTCCTTTTAGCCATTTAGCACCCTCCTTCAACCAGAGGAAATCTACAGAGAACTTGAAGATTAAAAGACTGATTACTGTTATTTTAAAATATGTCAAGATAATCTTTTGAGTTGATTAGAAATTGCAAACACAATGTTACTGAACTATAAAGTACATTTGGACATTTCATCAATTAAAAACGTGTCAGTTTCACCAAAATATGATCTAAACAAAATTAAGCATGAAAATAAAATTAAGAATTTTTCCCGCTTCGTAAAAATATAAAGAGAAAATCTCATATTTCCGCTCACATTTGTAGTTTTTCAAACAAAATAAAATTCTACTTTCGCGCAAAGAAAACATCGTTTAAACTTGATGTTGAACGTTACCATCGGAACTGCGCATCCTGGCAACAGGGACCTGATCCTCGCTCGCACACATCATTATTCTCAGTGAGCATTAATTCCGTCGTCATGATTATTGTTGAACCAGCTGCGGAACGGAAATGGAGAGCGTTCAAAAGTTACGCGAAGGAGAACATCCTCATCTTCGCCAGCCTGGCGGCCGTCGTTCTGGGTGAGTTTCTGACTGAACTGTAGATCTGAGGTTTAAACTCCCATCTGAACGCAGCTCTTCACGCAGGGATCGTTCTGGGCGTCGTGTTGAGAACCTACGTCATCCTGACGGATGAACAGCAGGAGTACATCAAATTCCCAGGAGAGATTCTGAAGCGGATGCTGCAGTTTGTGTCGGTTCCTCTGATCACCACGAGCGTAACGCTCGGTAAGGTTAAGGAAAACTTTAAACAACATGTTTATCCGTTAGAAAGATACAAAACACATTTATTAAAGAAAATACTTAAAGACAGAAAAGTAACTATTTTAGTAATCCACTGATAGAGATCGCAATCTTATTTCTTCAGTGCAATCTCTGCAGTTCTTTTCTCATGAATGTCCCTGTAAAGTAGTTGTTTTTATAGTTGTAGGGATATAAATGTGTGATTTTAGGTTTTTAAAACGATCCCATCAAAATCTGAAAAAATAGTTGTTTCGGAATCGGATTTAGGAGAAAAGCTGAGATTTTGTTTTTCTTGGTAAATCGTTAAAGGTGAAAATAGCGTTTTTGGCGCTGTTTTTATTTATTTTATTTATGCTTCAAATCTGTAACTTAATCATAGAATTGGTTAAATCACATCATAGGGCATAATTACTTCTAATTAATGTTTGATCTAAAATTACTTTATTTCTGCCACAAACAGCCTTTTGGGGTTTCTTTGTGGTTGGTTGAGTCATTCAAGTCTAATCCATTTTCCAAACAAACCCAGTTTGGGTGATAACTTCATTTTAACTGGAAACAGCTGTACTGGATCACAAAGCCTGGTCATTAACTAAACATATTGTGAACATTAAATTATGAGAAAATAAAAATATTTAAGTTGCCTTTATTTTCAGGAGCTGTAATTTCCTTTTTTTATTTTTATATTTTTTGTAACTAACTTTATTTTACTGATGTGTTCTGTATACTAACTGTGCTCACTGGCTTCTTCTGTTTTTTTTTTTTTTTTTTTTTCTTTCTCAGGAGTGGCCGGTCTCAGCATCAACACCTCCAGGCATATTGCTTTGCGTGCTACATTCTACTTCACCATAAGCACTGTGGTAGCTGTGACCATTGGTGAGAGATTAATTCTAAATGTCTGACATTTTTCATGCTTCTGTTTTTGAATTATTCACAATGGTAGAAATGTTTTTATGTATTTTTTGCAAGATGTTTTTTAGCAACTGGAAAGTTGATTTTATTTATCAAGTCAGTTTAAAGGGTTACCATTGTGCTGTAAAGTAAACAGAGAAATATTCAAGTAGTCAGCTGACCTCTTTCTTGAAGCACATCCTGTTGCTGAACCTAGACCTGACCAACTGCAGCAACCCCACATCATAGCACTGCCCCCACAGGCTTGTACAGTAGGCACTGGGCATGATGGGTGCATCACCTCATCTGCCTCTTCTTCCTGATGCGCCCATCACTCTGGAACAGGGTTCATCTGGACTCATCAGACCAGTTTTTAATAATGCGTCAGATAGTTCTTAAGCCAATTTTAGACATTTCTGCAATTTCCTTAGATGCTTTTTCTTTTTTCTTTTTTTTTTTGGCTTGATGCATGCCAATGATGCATGCCAATGATCTGACCCTTCTCAAACAGACTAACATCTTTTCCACAACCATCAGATGTGTCGTTCCACATGGTTGTTTAAGAAATGAGAAACAATTCATTGCACTAGTTGGGATTAAATACCTTGTTGTCATTTGAAAGATAATCGTCCATACAGTAGAGGGCACATACATACAATATTTTCTTAAATCCAGTGCCAGGCAGTGTATATGAGATAGCCTAATTACATGCAAAGCCAGATATTTCAGCCTTTATTTGTTATAATTGTGATGATTATGGTTTACAGCTTATGAAAACCCCAAATTAAAAAAACCTCAGACTTAGAATATTGTGAAAAGGATTCTTGGCACAAAGTGTCACTAATTAGTTAATGAATACAAAACAGCTGCAAAGCCTTTAGATGACCTCTCAGACTAAGTTGACATAAGTGGATTTTTGCACTAATCTTTCAAGTTTCAAGTGTACTTTGTGGTATTGGTATTGATTATGGACTAAAACAGGGCAGCGGCATATTCTTACTGAGACATGATGGTCTTGTCACAAAAATACAGCTCTTTCAGAGTTTAGCAAATAGTCCAAACCTCTATAATTACTCTGGAGAATTGTTTTTAGTTTGGTAAACGGTGTGTGTGTGTGTGTGTGTGTGCGTGCGTGTGTGTGTGTGTGTGTGTGTGCGTACGCGCGTGCGTGCGTACGTGCGTTCTACAGGTTTGACACTGGCCATAATCATAAAACCAGGGGCAGTAAATCATTTGGGTCAAGATGTCACAGGAAGTAATACTGATTCCTCAACAATTGATGCCTTATTGGATCTGGGCAGGTGAGATAACACTGTACATGTTAAATCTGGAACTGATTGCATTCCCCACCAAACTTAAATATATTTTACAGAACGATTGACATATTTTAAATGTTCTTCTGGCTCTCCAGAAACATGGTTCCACCGGATGTCCTTCAGGCTTGTTTCCAGCAGGTCTGTTGATTTTCAAATCCACCGTCTTACTCCGAGACAAATTTACACTTACATGACTTTTAATAATTTTTTACAGTACCAGACTGAAAAACCACAAGTGTTCGCCATTCCCAACTCTAGCCAGGTAATGTTGAATTTTTTTTGCCTCTTTACACACACACACACTCTCTCTCTCTCTCTCTCTCTCTCTCTCTCTCTCTCTCTCTCTCTCTCTCTCTCTCTCTCTCTCTCTCTCTCTCTCTCTCTCTCTCTCTCTCTCTCTCTCTCTCTCTCTCTCTCTCTCTCTCTCTCTCTCTCTCTCTCTCTCTCTCTCTCTCTCTCTCTCTCTCTCTCTCTCTCTCTCTCTCTCTCTCTCTCTCTCTCTCTCTCTCTCTCTCTCTCTCTCTCTCTCTCTCTCTCTCTCTCTCTCTCTCTCTCTCTCTCTCTCTCTCTCTCTCTCTCATTCACAATTACCACATAATCTGTTGTCTTGTTGCCTCAGAATTACACAGCAGACGTGCCGAGGGGTCACTATGTTGACGGTGCAAACACACTTGGCCTCATTGCCTTCGCCTTTGTGCTTGGACTGGCAATCAACTCTCTGAAAAAGAAAAAGGAAAATGTATTAGTGCTTGTTGCCAAAGCCATCAATGACATCACCAAAGCTGCCGTCAACTTGATTCTGAGGTGAGGTGGATTACTGTCATCTGATAAAACAATGTCAACTTTTGAATTCTGAAGCGTTTTTATCAGTGCATTCTTAAACGTATTTTAGCTTTGGGTTTTATTTTGAGTTTTGAAATGTTCTTGTTTCTATTTTAGATTCCTGCCAGTCGGAGTCTTCTTCATGATCACAACTCGTGTCCTCGAGGTCCGCGACTGGCAAACTACGGTGAACTTGGGGAAATTGATAGCTGTCATCCTCACAGGGTTTGTTGTTTTCATCTTCTTCAGTTCTAACTTTTCACAAATGTGTGATTAGATGCACTCAGCTCATTTCAGTCATGACCAAAAGTAGTCTAAGGCGGATAAATTCTGCCTCATAAGCAAACCATCGACATATATACGTATGCACATATGAAGCAAACATACCTTTAGAGGTTTGATCATAATCAGTTTTCTTTTCAGGACCAGGGACAGCTCACACCTCTAAGTTGTTTACTACTATATTAAAACAAAGTGCCTACAGGCAGTACAAACACATGTCTGATCTGTATCTTTTGACATCTAGAAAATCATTTTGCCTCTGAAAAAATAAAATAACATGAGCTCAAACCTAATGTGATATAAGATTTTTGTTTATGTAAAAAAATCCTAAATTTTCTTCATTTGTAACTTGTGTAAGTGGCATCAGGTGGTTCTACAGTGTCACAAACAAAACAAAACTGTATAAAATTATCAGACGGTAAACAAGTTTGAAGCTCTTGATGAATGCCACGGGTTACTTTTATTCTGGTCATTTTTTAGCTCTATATTGAATTACTCATTTTAAAATGGTATGAAGTGATTAACACATCATCACATTTTCAAATCTGAAAGACGATCAATGTTGCATAGATGTGCAGATCGTATCTGTCACATCCATTGGTCCAGACCTCTTCTGTCGAATGTTAATGTCTTTGCACAGTGGGACATCAAAGTGAACGTGGCTCTTTTTCATTTAAAACTTTATAAACAGCCAGAGTGGTTCGCAGCTGAGTGTGAAGAAACTGGGATGAGAATCAGCTCCTCTGAACCCGAGACTATGGTCTTGAGTCTGAAAAGGATAGAAGGCCTTCTCTGGGTCAGGGACGAGGTCCTGCCCTGAGTGGAGGAGTTTAAGAAGAAGAAAGAAGAAGAAAATATCTTAGTATATTGGTGTCTTGTTCATGAGTGAGGGTAAGACGGAGCATTAGGTCGATGGGCAGATTGGTGCTGCGCCGTACCGGTCTGTCGTGGTGAAGAGAGAGCTGAAACAGAAGGCAAAGCTCTCAATTTACCGGTCGATCTACGTTCCTACCCTCACCTATGGTCACAAGCTTTGGGTCATGACCAGGGGCATAGCACCAAATTCTGGGCCCTAGGTACAAGTCTTCTAGGTGGGCCCCCATGCTCAATTACTTAATATCTCTCTTACACATTTTTTGTCATGCTATAAGACAAGATAATAAATATGATCTTAGTTTAACCTCTATATTGAGCAAATACAAATGCCAGCATAATAAAAGTGAAATGCCCAGACTTCACATATAATTATTTTTATTTGCCAACAATGTGTTCAAACAAAAATCCTGGAATTTATTTTCCAGTAAATGCCCACTGACGGGTCTTCATGTTAGCAAAATCACTTATGAGATATTTAAAGTCCAATCCTTTGGCTAATTGGCTTCAATAGAAAGAAGAGCTAGGCTGTTCAGTCTATCCTGGGACATTGTTGATCTCAAATAATTTTTCACCAGTTTCAGTTTGCTAAAAGCCCGTTCACCCCCAGCAACAGTCACAGGTAGTGTGCAAAATATCCTCAGTCCAATACAAACTTCTCCAAAAATTCTCTGTAATTGCATCCTGTATGGCATTAAGCAGCTCAAGAGGAGACCGAATGTGTGGAAATGTGGCACCATATATTGTTCTCAGGTGTAGCATCTCATTCTCAAATTCAGCTGTGAGATCCTTGTAATATTTTCTCATCAGTGCCTGGCATGATATCTTCATCTGCTCTTTGGTCATGTCTATCATGGTTCATGATGTTAAGCTTTGCTGATATGTATTGATATTAAATACATATGACATGAAATAAACCAGGTTCTCTCTGTGAATGTAATGTACTCTAAATTTTATAATCCCTGCATTATCAGCCAAATTATAAGATTGTCCGTTTTCAAGATCAAATATAAAGAAATTTAAAATAGTCTTAAAATATCTAACCAAGTAAATAACAATCCTTTAACACCAGTGTCATCATGCTATACGAAAAACAGTGGCAGCTTCCCATTCCTGAGATTACCACGAATCCATCGATACCAAGTTTGTCCTGGTCCATGACTGGGAAGGAGCTGAAATATCCACACAGACTGAACCTGTTTTTACTGCGAGGTCCGCGAATTAATTGGCGGCGGCCGCCCGCGATAATAATTCTGATTAATATATATATATATATTAATTAGTGTTTTCACTGATAACACTAATTAATTTATATTTGATCTTGATGGTGAAACTAAAGGTGTTTAACACTGAACACCTAACATGAATGCAGCTTCTGAGAGCTAGCTAATATCAGCTAAAACTGTTCTGCTGCTGCTGGCGCTGCTCACCTTCCTTCTACTTGCTTCTGTTCAATTAACTTTTCCTCCTTCTCCTTCTTTTCTTTTCTTTTCTGGAAGCCAGATTTCCCTTTCTTGGGAAAAAGACATGACTGACTCTCCTGCCTCCAGCTCTGGCTGTCGGCATCTGCGATGTCTCATTAGCTGGCCGCAGGTGTGGACTAAACCACTTTGCACATTTTTAAGGGGTGATGGATGCCTCAGAGATTGTTCAGTTATTATTTTTAAGGCGAAATTCTGTTTCTTAACCTCTTTATCCAGGTAAAGGGAAGTTTATTAAGACATTAAGTAAGTTGGGGGGAAACAACAACAACAATAAAAACATTTTTATTCAAAGCTGTCTCAGGGCCCCTCTCTGCAGTGGGCCCTGGGTAAACGGTACCCTCCCCCCCACCCCCCCACCCCCAGTCCGACGCCCCTGGTCATGACAGAAAGAAAGAGATTGTGGATACAAGCGGACAAAATTACTTTTCTCCCCAGGGCGTCTGGGCTCTCCCTTAGAGATAGGGTGAGAAGCTTGGTCATCCGGGAGGGGTTCGGAGTAGATCCGCTGCTTCTCCACATCGAGAGGAGCTAGTTGGGGTGGCTCAAGCATCTGGTTAGGATGCCTCCTGGACATCTCCCTGGAGAGGTTTTCTGGGCACGTTCAACCAGGAGAAGACCTAAAGGAAGACCCAGGACACGCTGAAGGGACTGTGTCTCTCTTCTAACCAGGGAACACTTTGGGATTCCCTCGAAGGAGCAGAAACAAATGGCTGGGGAGAGGGACGTCTGGGCATCCCTGCTAAGGCTGCTGCCCCCATGACCCAACACAAGATAAGAATATGAAAATGGATGGATGAACTTTTTTAATGTTTGTGTTGTGACCAGTCTCATCCAGATGTATTTGACACCAGACAGTATTTTTTTCAGGCTCATAATTCATGGAGTCATCGTCCTGCCCATGATCTACATCCTGGTTACGAGACAAAACCCCCTTAAGGTCATCCGGGGGGTTTCTCCTGCACTGCTGACAGCTCTGCTCATCGCCTCCAGGTCCGTTTATCACCACCACTGGTTTTTATATTTACCTCAGCACCGTGATATGAGAGAGATAAAATGTTCTGGGTTTCACCTCCATTCTCTAAGTTCTGCCACGCAGCCTCACACCTTAAGCTGCTGCTTGGAAAACAACAAGATTGATGGCAGAATCGTCCGCTTCATGCTGCCCATTGGAACCAATGTCAACATGGACGGGTCGGCGCTTTACGAGGCGGCCGCCACAGTTTTCATCGCACAGTTGAGTCACATCTATCTGGACGTGACTCAGTTGTTCACCATTGGGTCAGTTTTTCAGTCCAGACAAGATAAGTGATCAATGATTTGGAGGAATATGTAGGGAAATAAATGTCATTAACATTTATATAATGTTTTCTGTGCAGTTTGGCAGCTGCCATTGCCAGCGTCGGAGCTGCAGGGATCCCAGCGACTGGAGCAGTGACCACACTCTTCGTTCTGACCGCTGTCGGCCTGCCTGTGAGGGACGCTGCCCTCCTGGTGGTGACCGAGTGGCTGCTGTAAGTTCAGCAATGCTTTAAATCAGGGACAAACAGAAAGAATGTTTTGAAAATAAAAACTTTTAGCTACTGTAAGTCACACCTGGCACTCATGTGGAAGAATCAATCTTGTTTCCTTCTTGTAGAGACCGATTCAACACGGTGATTAACGTGTTGGGAGACTGCATCGGCGTTTCTCTTGTCCATGAAATGTCAAGACAAGAACTGGAGAAAATGGACAAAGAGGACATGGAAACTGGAAGGTGAAGACGCTTTTATCCTGTAATTTCATCCTTATTGTTTTTCAAGATAAAAGTTTAAATCTCTGCCTTAATTGGAAGTATGGTGGGAATTATAGCCGTTTAATTATTTTTTCTAATAAGTCAGTTCTGAGATTATTTAATTTTCAGAAACTTATTTGGAATGACCCACTAGTTGTTCCCATTATACTAACTCAGAGTTATTTGTTCTAATTAAAAATCTGTTAAACAAATCAGTAAATCCGTGATTGTACGCGTTTATTTCATGCCCCACTGACGTGTTTAGCTTTGTTTTTGTAGGACTTTAAACAAACCACCAGAAGAACCACAAGAAGAAAAATCTTAGTGGGAAACCAGACACTCCTTCAACGACTCTTTTCGCAGCAAATAAAGACTTCTGCAGACAAGTTCCAGCCTTTTCTTGTGCATAAATTAACATTCAGGTGCTGGTCATAAAATTAGAATATCATGACAAAGTTGATTTATTTCAGTAATTTCATTCAAAAAGTAAAACATATATTAGATTTATTTATTGCACACAGACTGGATAATTTCTAATGTATATTTATTATATTGCTGATGATTATAATTGACAAATAATGAAAATCCGTAATTCAGTATATCAGAATATTAGAATCAATCATGAAGACCAATGCAAAAAAAAAAGCAGTTTAAGAAATGTTGGCCATCTGAAACGTATGAACATGAAAAATGTTAGCATGTACAGCACTCAATATTTAGTCGGGGTTCCTTTGGCATGGGTTACTGCAGCAATGCTGCATGGCATGGAGTCCATTAGTCTGTGGCACTGCTCAGGTGTTATGAGAGCCCATGTTGCTCCGATAGTGGCCTTCAGCTCTTTTGAATTGTTGCGTCTTCCTCTTCACAATAACCCATAGTTTTTCTATGGGGTTAAGGTCAGGTCCTTAAATCAGGTCCTTTGGCAATGAGTGCAGGTGCCAAGTTCTGTTGGAAAATGAAATCTGCATCTTCATATAGTTGGCCATCAGCAGGAAGCATGAAGTTCTCTAAAACTTCCTAATAGATGGCTGCGTTGACCTTTGACCTCAGAAAATACAATGGAACAACACCAGTAGATGAAATGGTGCCCCAATCCATCACTGACTGTGGAAACTTTACACCGGAGCTCAAGCAACGTGGATTCTGTGCCTCTCCTCTCTTCCTCGAGATTCTGGGACCTTGATTAAAAAGGAAAGACAAAATGTACTTTCATCAGAGAACTTAATTAGAACCACTCAGCAGCTTTAGCCCAGGTGAGACACTTCTGATGCTGTCTCTTGTTAAAGAGTGGCTTGGCACAAGGAATGCGACAGCTGAAACCATGTCTTGCACACGTCTGTGCGTGGTGGTTCTTGAAGCACTGACTCCAGCTGCAGTCTACTCTTTGTGAACCTCTTCCACATTTTCGAATAGGTTAGTTCTACAATCTTCCCCAGGGTGCAGGTATCTCTTGCTTGTACACTTTTTTCTACCACATCTTGTTCTTCCCTTTGCCTCTATTGATTTGCTGCAGCTGAATCTGTAAGGCCTGCGTTCGTTTTTTTGCGGGTTTCTGCGTTTCGTTGATAATAATCGAGCCCTTGTTCCAGTTGATTCATTTTCTTTTTGTAGGAAGAACATTCAGACTCCACTTTGGTTCTTTTTGCCTTCTCAATACTCAGATTCGTTTGTGAAGCTCAGTTGTTTTTTAAGTTTGCTCACCTCCTTCAAAAGATCTTCCGTGATTTCTTGTTTCTCACAAGCGGGTGAGTCCTGCTGGACTTTCTGAGATCGATGAGTCTTTTCTTGTGGTTTAAATCATTTTCAGAGGTTTGCTGTCCGTCCCCATCTGAATCAAAATGAATGATTAAGTTATAATCCATCTCTGGTTCTTGTTGGCATTTATCAAACCAAGGCTGTTTTGTGTTATCAGACGTGCTGTTTCCAGGCATTTCTGTGTTTATGTGTAAATATTCTTGTGTTTCAAAGAAATCTCCAAGAGTGCAATGTTTCACAGAAGAGGTCTGTCTTTGTGTGTTGACAGGGCACTGTGAGCGTTTATGTCTGATTCTGTCACAAAGGTCACATGATTACATGAAATTATTCCGTCAGCTGTGGTGTCATTCTATGTATTCACTTATCAAGGGACCTTCTGCTGCAGCAAGCGGAGCTCTAGTTGCTACGCACCTGAGGAGTTTTCATACATTGGTCGCCTTCATTAATATTCTTTGATGGACGGTAATGCAACGCGAACAGCAGTGCGCAACCCCACAAATTATACATCAAATCGACCGGCTCGGTCGTGGTTGGGGTGCTTTTTCTTTTCTAAGCAATTCGGTTTAACGTGGTGAAATTAAAAATAGTTGAAACATATTTTTATTTGAGTGTGTCCACTCTAAATTTACACAATTAATCAATTTAAATGTTTTGCTGGAATTTTCAAGTTTATGAGTGTCTTACCCCGCCCTACGTGAGAGGCTCATCAGTAGAAAGCAGATGTCATAAATAAAAATTCAAATTAAATGCTCAGCTAATAGTTTTACTCAGCGTAAACTACGAGTGGGAAGGATGATCCTTCTGTGCACCAGAAACTATTTCTGCTCAGCTTACAGGTTACTGACAGATGTCAACCTCCATACTTGATGTATTTTTACTTCATTAGATTACTACAGGTAACATTTTATATCCAGATTATGAAATTACTTTGAGATGATTAAAAAGGAAGAGTTTGGCCGGTACTTCTCAAGAAAAGATACAGCAGAAATGGCAGTTTTACGTGAATCAAAGACTTATTTTATAGAAGTGAGAATAGTCAATATGAGAGCAAGTGCAGTGGAGCAAAAAACTATTTAGTCAGCCACCGATTGTGCAAGTTCTCCCACTTAAAATGATGACAGAGGTCAGTAATTTACATCATAGGTACACTTCAACAGTGAGAGACAGAATGTGAAAAAAAATCCATGAATTCACATGGCAGGATTTTTAAAGAATTTATTTGTAAATCAGGGTGGAAAATAAGTATTTGGTCAATAACAAAAATTCAACTCAGTACTTTGTAACATAACCTTTGTTGGCAATAACAGAGGTCAAACGATTACTATAGGTCTTTACCAGGTTTGTACACACAGTAGCTGGTAATTTGGCCCATTCCTCCATGCAGATCTTCTCGAGAGCAGTGATGTTTTGGGGCTGTCGCCGAGCAACACGGACTTTCAACTCCCTCCACAGATTTTCTATGGGGTTGAGGTCTGGAGACTGGCTAGGCCACTCCAGGACTTTCAAATGCTTCTTACGGAGCCACTCCTTTGTTGCCTGGGCGGTGTGTTTGGGATCATTGTCATGTTGGAAGACCCAGCCACGTTTCATCTTCAAAGCTCTCACTGATGGAAGGAGGTTTTGGCTCAGAATCTCGCGATACATGGCCCCATTCATTCTGTCCTTAACACGGATCAGTCGTCCCGTCCCCTTAGCAGAAAAACAGCCCCAAAGCATGATGTTCCCACCCCCATGCTTCACAGTAGGTATGGTGTTCTTGGGATGCAACTCAGTATTCTTCCTTCAAACACGACGAGTTGAGTTTATACCAAAAAGTTCTACTTTGGTTTCATCTGACCACATGACATTCTCCCAATCCTCTGCTGCATCATCCATGTGCTCTCTGGCAAACTTCAGACGGGCCTGGACATGCACTGGCTTCAGCAGCGGAACACGTCTGGTACTGCAGGATTTGATTCCCTGCCGTTGTAGTGCGTTACTGATGGTGACCTTTGTTACTGTGGTCCCAGCTCTCTGCAGGTCATTCACCAGGTCCCCCCGTGTGGTTCTGGGATTCTTGCTCACCGTTCTCATGATCATTTTTACCCCACGGGATGAGATCTTGCGTGGAGCCCCAGATCGAGGGAGATTATCAGTGGTCTTGTATGGCTTCCATTTTCTGATAATTGCTCCCACAGTTGATTTTTTTTACACCAAGCTGCTTGCCTATTGTAGATTCACTCTTCCCAGTCTGGTGCAGGTCTACAATTCTTTTCCTGGTGTCCTTCGAAAGCTCTTTGGTCTTGGCCATAGTGGAGTTTGGAGTCTGACTGCTTGAGGCTGTGGACAGGTGTCTTTCATACAGATAATGAGTTCAAACAGGTGCCATTAATACAGGTAACGAGTGGAGGACAGAAAAGCTTCTTAAAGAAGACGTTACAGGCCTGTGAGAGCCAGAGATTTTCCTTGTTTGAAGTGACCAAATACTTATTGTCCACCCTGATTTCCAAATACATTCTTTAAAAATCCTGCCATGTGAATTCATGGATTTTTTTCACATTCTGCCTCTCACAGTTGAAGTGTACCTATGATGAAAATTACTGACCTCTGTCATCATTTTGAGTGGGAGAACTTGCACAATCGGTGGCTGACTAAATACTTTTTTGCCCCACTGTATTTGGACAAGAGAAGAGACTTGTTCAGAGAAGAGTGTTGTAAGAAAAAGCAGTACAAGATCTGATCATAAACCAACAATTAATGCTCTGAAATGGACAAAATACATCCAAAGTCTTTTTAGCTGCTAGGGAAAATCCACTGCAGAAAATAGGGCTTTTTATTGTTACATTTATACAAATAAACTCACGAACACAGACGTGAGTAGTAGAGGTTGACTTAAAGAGCAAGTAACGTCTAAATTAACTTTTTTTTTTTGCTGATGAACTGTATAAATGAATGTCTAATAGTGTTTTAAATGTGTGTATTCATTATTTTAGCATTTTGGTGCATTTTCTTTAAAAATTAAAAATTCTGCCTAAATACCACAGCATAGCGCCACCTTCAGCTTGAAACACAGTTTGAGTCATTTTGAAAATGCTTTAGCCATAAACCAGTAGAGTACTACGTAGCAGCTCTGTGTCAAAGTTATAAAAGCATCGAGAGTCTCGGCCACGCCTTGTGGCGAGTTGGGAGCTGGATTTGCAAGCGAGTGTAGGAGGGTTTGCAGTAGTTCAGCATTAGCATATAGCATTAGCATATTATAATCTTTAGCATAGCTTTTAGTGTTATACATACTTATTTAGTGTTAGCTTGGCTGTTAGATATTGTAGTTTAGTTAGTGTTTAGCTGTTAGTGTTATTAGGAAAGTAGTTCGGGTTTAGTGTTCCACGTCGTGTTAGTATGGTGAGAAGGTGTAGTGTAGTTGTCAGGCGCGCTGGTGAGTGGAGCGGAGGTGACGATCCACACGCTGGGGTGGAATCAGGCACACAAACCGGGACAGGTAAAGTCTTTTAATAAGGAACACGCTGACATGGAAACAATGAGCCAACAAGAGACACAGAACTGAAGGGGTTTAAATACATGAGGGCATGGGAGCTTGGGTGATTGGAACACGAGAGGCAGGTGGGAGCAATTAACAGAGACACATGACTGAACAGAATGGGGAGACAGGACAGGGTGTGACAGTACCCCCCCCCCCCCCCCCCACCAAAAGGGCGGATCCCAGACACCCATAGGAACACAGAGCAGGGCGGGAGAAGGGGGACCCGGAGGGAGGGCCGAGAGGGACCGAGGGACCGATGGAGAGGAGGCAGGGACCAGTAGAGTCCGGGGGCCTGCATCTGGGGCAGAGGAGGAGGCGACGACGGGCTCTGGGGGGCCTGCGTCTGTGGCAGAGGAGGAGGTGACGACGGGCTCTTGGGGGCCCTCGCCTTGTGAGGGCAGGACTGGCGGTGACCAGAGGCAGAGACGCCAGAGGAGACGTCCTTGACTTCTGGACTGGAGGCGGCGGCGACGATCTCTAGACTGGAGGTGGCGGCGACGACCTCTAGACTGGAGGCGGCGGCGACGACCTCTGGACTGGAGGCGGTGACGACCTCTGGACTGGAGGCGGCGGTGTCGACCTCTGGACTGGAGGCGGCATCATCGACCTCTGGGCTGGAGACGGCGGCGTCAACCACTGGACTGGAGACGGCGTCGTCGACCACTGGACTGGAGACGGCGGCGTCGACCACTGGACTGGAGACTACGTCGACCACTGGACTGGAGACGGCGTCGACCACTGGACTGGAGACCGTGTCGACCACTGGACTGGAGACGGCGTCGACCACTGGACTGGAGGGGGCGACCACTGGACTGGAGGGGGAGACGTCGACCACTGGACTGGAGGGGGAGAGGTCGACCACTGGACTGGAGGGGCAGACGTCGGCCACTGGACTGGAGGGGGAGACGTTGGACTGGAGGGGACATTGGAAAGGAGGGGACGTCGGACTGGAGGGGACGTTGACCTCTGGACTGGAGGGGATGTCAACCTCTGGACTGGAGGGGACGTCGACCTCTGGACCGGAAGGGGCGTCGACCTCTGGACCGGAAGGGGCGTCGACCTCTGGACCGGAAGGGGCGTCGACCTCTGGACCGGAAGGAGCGTCGACCTCTGGACCGGAAGGAGCGTTGACCTCTGGACCGGAAGGAGCGTCGACCTCTGGACCGGAAGGAGCGTCGAACTCTGGACCGGAAGGAGGGTCGAACTCTGGACCGGAAGGAGCGTCGACCTCTGGACCGGAAGGAGCGTCGACCTCTGGACCGGAAGGAGCGTCGACCTCTGGACTGGAAGGAGCGTCGACCTCTGTCGGCTTCTGGTCCGGAGGCACCGGCTTCTGGTCCAGAGGCGACGGCTTCTGGACCTGGACCGCCGACTTCTGGACTTGGACTGTCGGTTTCTGGTCCGGAGGCGCCGGCTTCTGGACCGCCGACTTCTGGACCTGGACCGCCAACTTCTGGACTGGAACCGTCGACTTCTGGACCGGAACCGTCGACTTCTGGACCGGATCCGTCTACTTCTGGAGTGGAGGCGGAGCCGCTGAAGACGGGGCCGCTTCCTTGGCTGAAGCAGCCGGACTGGGCTCTGACACCTGGACAGGCCGGCCTGGGGGAAAAGCCTTTTGGGTCACCGCTGGGTCTGGAGCTGACTGAACTGGTGGCGCTGGTAACTGGAAGAGCAGGGAGGATAGATTGTCCAGCTGGAGCTCCTGGAGACTGAGGCTCTGATGGAGTTGGGGCAGCTCAGCTCGAGGACCGGTGAGCTCTGCTGGGTGGACTGTGGGCTCGATCCTTTGGCCCTAAGACGAGGGAGCTGCTGACTGGACCGAAACCTTCTCCTGATGATTCGGGGAGGATAGGGTGTCCAGCTGGAACTCCTGGAGGCTGACGAGCTGACGGATCCGGCCAAGCTCCGCCTGGAGACCGGCGAGCTCTGTCAGCTGGGCTGTAGGTGTGGTTCCTCCGCCTGCAGATGGCGGAGGCGCTGATTGGACCGGAGACGGGACTGCTGGTCTGACTGGGGGCGGGTCCAAGCTAGCGTGCCGAGCCGAGGCAGCGGCGAGCTCGCAGCTCTGTCCTGGGACAAGGGGTGACGGTGGAGCCCAGCATCCTTCCCAACGCCGTGGGCCAACTCTGGGGGAGCACACAGCCAGTCTGGTGCCCACATAGCAGGAGCGGTCCATCTGCGCCTCCCCGTCCAACTCTCCATCCGGCTCCGGGAGGGTGGAGAGGATCCCTGAGGCCCGGGCACGGCGGTGGCGTACGCGGCGAGGGATGCCAGAGGAAGAGGAGCCGGCCACTGGTCCGCGGCGAGAAACTGGAGCAGGTACTCCTAGGGATAACCTCCCCACTGGATCCTTCTGTGGGTTGGCTCATTCTGTCAGGCGCGCTGGTGAGTGGAGTGGAGGTGAGGATCCACACGCTGGGGAAGAATCAGGCAGGCAGACAAACTGGGACAGATAAAGTCTTTTAATAAGGAACACGCTGACATGGAAACAATGAGCCAACAAGAGACACAGAACTGAAAGGATTTAAATACATGAGGGCTGGGAACTTGGGTGATTGGAAAACGAGAGGCAGGTGGGAGCAATTAACAGAGACACTTGATATAACAGAATGGGGAGACAGGACAGGGTGTGACAGTAATGGGTTGTGGTGGCTCCATGGGGTTACACTCCTTTCCACTGGACTTAGAAATTAGGCTCCAGTGATTGCACGCAGTCGGTGTACTGGAAATCAGTCAGCTCCCTGGTGCTGTAGTTTGCAACCAGCATTTTACCCGTGATTCCTTCGCCAACATGATGGAGTTTGAACTGGGTTATTCTGCACGTCTCCGTTTGAAGAGGGAGGCCGTGCCCACCGTGGCTCTTCCACGATTTAGATGCAGCCTACCGACTCTGCTCCCCCACCATGGCGTGCTCCAGTCTGAGGTGAGTAAGCTAAATAAAAATTTTTAACATCTTCTAAAGACAATTCCCTACCTAAATGCAAAGTTTGAGAGACCTGGTTCACTTAATTTAGCTAATATCAGCCTGCACTGCCTTTGGGCTGATTTGTCAAGTTCACAAAATGTGGAACGGGATGTAAGGTTAGAATCAGCGGCGAATCGGAACATATCTCGAAGCCCTGGCCGACGAAACGGTCCACATGACTATTACTGTAAGGCTCGGAGAAAATTTGGGTTGTTTTTGTGTCAGTCGGTAATTCTGCAACAGTGGCTCTAACTAACGCAGCACTAGTTGACAGACAGCATTACAGCGTGAAATCCAGCTTTACACCACAGCGTGACCCGGTTCTGTAAGGAATTCTGTTCAGGAGGTCACATTTCAGGCTCTCTTCACATCATATGTGACTGACTTTTACGGTATAACAACGATCACACACTAGGAATGTTATGAAGCGCCTATATAGGACAGTTTCTTTTGTATATTATCTATGACTTTATAAACTCCAAAAACAATGTGCTTATATTTTTTTTTTCAGCCTAAATCTACCCAAGACATTGGCAGTCAGACTGATTTAGTAGTCTGCAAGAATGCACTTGTCCAGGCTGACGTGAAGCCTTACCGGCGTAGCAAAGGTGAATTATTTTTAATAATCATTTATGTAAACATTTTATTATCACCTTCTAGTTTTAATTTGTTTTACAGATTATTGTTATACGTGATTTTATGCTCTTTTAAAAATGTATGAATGTGCTTCTTCTTTGTTTTTTACATAGACACCCAGTTTAGAGCTCCCAGCCGCTGTGTGTCTTGTGACACAGAGACCATGACGGAAATTCCTCTTCCAGAAAGTCCCAGAGCAGCGTCCACACCCCTGAAAAGACCAAGATGTGAGGTGTCTGCTGTTGATTCCAGCCTCCACCTCAGTGACAGTGCAAGCTCAGTGAACTGTTCAAGGTAAAAAATTAAAACATTTCAGAATTTTTAAGATATTAACAATTAAATAAATGTATGTGATTACATCATGACATCATGAAGGAGGCTACTGATTCTGCCCCGTGACACTTGGTGGTGACGTGTGAGCTGATTCACCTGGTAAATAACTTTCATTAAATATTTTGTTCTTTGCTATCAAAAGTAAATTAACTAATAGCCTGCATTATTGCAGGACACTCAGCAAAATATGGACTCTACACCATGAGGCAGGCACACATTAATACACATAAGGTGAGCAACACCACATATTATTATTACTGTACACTGTCCTGGATTTGTTTTCTTTCTGCATCTCATCATTAGCCTGGCTGATCACCTGATAACTCATGTCATCTGGTTATGACAGCATGAGGATGTCCTCACACACCTGTAACCTATCAGCTCATCTGGCAGAATAGAAAGAGGAGACAACACCACATCTACTGTTCCTGGAAAGCCTTCAGCCATCCTTTGATGACTGAGAACCTCCATCAGCTCTGTCTCCTGTCTGCCTACAATTATTATAATAAATATTGTGTTTGACAAGTTTTTTGTGCTGCCAAATATCTCATTTTTATTCCAGTTTTGATATTTTAATGGATATTTATAAATTACATTAATTGAATTATCTCATTGTTGCATGTTTAACTAGCTCTATTGTGATGAATTAAACTAGCACCTCACTGTTAAAAGTTTGCTTTAATTTCAAGCATGTTTAAGTATTTATGGACATGAACAAAAACAGGAAATATATAAATTGAGATTTATTTAATTAATTTAACAAATAAGGGGGAAAGAGTCATTGAAAGGCACATTCTTCTGGAAGCTCCTGATCCTGACGACACCAGCAGGAGACCAGCTGCAGACACCAGAGGATCACCTACAACCAAGAGAGCAGCTGGTATCAGTAAATAAATAATGAAATCAGGGCAGTTTTAGTGGGCTGAACACATTACAGAATAATTTTCTCATGGGGTAGTTTCATAACTTTCTCTGCAGCAGACTGTAACTTAAGCCCAGGGCTCCTGTAGAGCTGCTATCCAGCACGTTTCAGTGGTTTTCCTGCTTTAACAGGTTAGATTAGCTGTTAAGCAGCTCAGCTAGTTGTTGTTGATTAAAACCAGGTGTGTTGAAGCAGATAAAACTCTAAAACATGCTGAATACTAGCTCTCTAGGGCCGTGGAGCCAAACCCTGCAACTAATCTAATGCTATGGCTAACGGCTACTTACCATTCAGAGCTGGTTCTGTTGGGTCGGTTCCGCTAGTTTCAGGCAACTCACAAGCTCAAAACAATAAGGCTCAGGTCCGCTTGTCTCCTCCAAATAGACTTGGTCCCTTTCTTCTCGAGTGTCTGTGTAAGGAGGGGGAGAAACTTCCTCCACTTCTAATGACTGCTCAGAGTGAAGGGAGCTAGCATCGTCTAGTTAGCCATCGTCTTCGTCACTGCTGCAGCTCCGCCCTCTCGGTCCTCCAGGCAACGCCTACTAATGTTGCAGTTTTTAAAATTGATACGTGGGTGGAGAAGGACTCTGAGGCACACTTGACCTGCTCTTTAAACATCGGGCTGATATATACTATATTTGTACACCGGCCTTGGCCAGTATTTGTCCTTAAAGAGCAAGTCACTCCAAATCAACTTTTTTTTTTGCTGATAAACTATATGAATGAGTGTCTGATCGAGCTGTACACACGTGTAGTCAATAATTCAGCACTGTAGTGCATCTTTGTTAAAATTTCAATATTCTGCCTAAAACTGTCAGTGTTGCATCGTCATCAGGGAAAACTCAATTAAATCTGCGATTGCTTTTGACTGAGAGGTACATTATGATGTCACATTGTCGTTGGCTCACAACGATATTGTGACATCATAATGTCATTGTGTACCTCTTAGCCAATAGTGATGGCAAATTTAAATTCTGTCACGGTCTGGGGTTTTTTCACACACTAATTGGTGTAGAGTCTCATCTCTCCTCTGCAGGTGGGCGTGCCTGGAAGTTGGGAGGCTGCAGGTAATTTGCTGATTAGCTGGCCAGGGATATTTAAGCTCCTGAGAGACGCCTTCACTTCGCTGGATGATTAACTCAACTTGGGTATTTCTCCTAACAGCCAAATCCAAACTAAGCTTTGATTTTGAGAATTTCTGGGTTATGGATTTTTGATTTTTGAGATCTCTGTGTTTTTGACTGCTTGTTTTGCCTCCTGCAGATATCACCTATCAGTTCACCTCGTTTGCTGCTACCAACCTGGTTTCTTCACTGTCCACTCGTCTCTCAGCGTCCTCCTCTGGTCTCCCCACTCCAGGCTGCCCACCCTCCCTCCTGGATCACCATTACCCTTCATGCTCAGCTCCCTCCTCATTTGGACTCCAAGCTCATCAGCCTCCCGTAAGCCTCCTGCCCTCCCCAGACCGGTCACTCCTCCCTCTCTCACGAGGTCTCACCTCCAACCTGTAAGTTCCATCAGATCCAACATTCAGATTTCCGAGTGCCAGACCTAACTCTCCCTGTTCCTCCAGGATTCTCCACACCCGAACCTCGCTTCTCTGCCGAATACTGCTAGACTTCCTAGCAGCTCCTTCTGTTCTCCTTTTCTAATAAATTGTTTTTTGCGATCTTCTTTGACTCTGTGGACTGATTCTGTATGTCGTGGGTTAGGCATCTACCACACAACATGACAAATTCAAATGCAGTGCAGAATTTTTACCTGATGACGGCATTACACTGACAGTTTTAGACAGAATACTTACATTTTAATTGAGATGCACTAATGTGCCAAGTTGTTGACTACATGTGTCTACAGCACAATTAGACACTCATTTAGATATTGTATCAGCAAAAACAAGTTGATTTGGGGATGGTTTGCTCTTTAACGAGTGAAGCATGGATGTGCAAAATACGACGTTACATGAATGCAACACCAGATCAATATCAGGTTAATCTCAGAATTTTGAGATTTTCCAAGAAATATTTTTTATCAGATCACAGTTTAACCAAAGTTACACATATCTTTATTTTTCATGGAAACGTTTGTTAAAGTGGCATCATTTAAACTTGATGTTGAACGTTACCATCGGAACTGCGCATCCTGGCAACAGGGACCGGATCCTTGGTCGCATACATAAATATTCTCAGTGCGACTTAATACTTTAATCATGATTATGGTTGAACCAGCTGCAGAACGGAAATGGAGAGCGTTTACAAGTTACGTGAAGGAGAACAACCTCATAGTCGCCAGTCTGGTGGCCGTCGTCCTGGGTGAGTTTCTGACTGAACTGTAGATCTGAGGTTTAAACTCCCATCTAAACGCAGCTCTTCACGCAGGGATCGTTCTGGGCGTCGTGTTGAAAACCTACGTCATCCTGACGGATGAACAGCAGGAGTACATCAAATTCCCAGGAGAAATTCTGATGCGGATGCTGCAGTTTGTGTCGGTTCCTCTGATCACCACGAGCGTAACGCTCGGTAAGGTTTAAGCAACTCATTTAAATTTAAAATCGGACCTTATTTTAACAGCGCATTTGTAATTTTCTCAAATTTGACATTTTAAATGTTCTTTTAAACCTGTTGTACGTGTTCCTATTGGGGGAAATATGATTTTAGATTTCAAAAACGTTGCTATCAAAATCTGTAAAAAGTTGTTTCCAGGACTGGTTTTGGAGTAAAGCGGTGTGATAGGGAGTTATTATTGGTTAAATTATTATTGGTGAAAATATTGTATTTGGCGCAGGATTTTATTTTATTTTTACCATTATTGCTTCAAACATTCATGACGTCATCATAAGTTTATAATGATCCTATTCAACAATATTTTAGTAATGCCAGAGGGACGTTAGGTGTTGTAACTCATTCTTGAAAAGCAATGATGAAAACATTAAAATTCAATGCAATTCAAGTTTATTTATAAAGAGCCAAATCACAACAAGAGTTGTCTCAAGGCACTTCACACAGTAAACATTCCACTACAGTTCAGTTCATTACGCCAATCACTAAAAAGTTTCTGATATAAAGAACCCAGCAGATTGCATCAAGTCACTGACAAGTGTCAGCGTCTTTACCCAATCCTCATACAAGCATGTAACGACAGTGGAGAGGAAAACTCCCTTTTAACAGGAAGAAACCTCCAAAGGATCCTGGCTCAGGATAAGCAGCCACCCACCATGACTCAGTGGGGATCGAGAGGACAGCACACACACACACACACACACACACACACACACACACACACACACACACACACACACACACACACACACACACACATACACACACACAAGTTTTTTTTAACTAACCTTAATTTACTACTGTGATGTGTTCTGTATACTATCTGTACTCACCTGCACCACTTCTTACATGTTATCATTTTCCCAGGAGTGGCCGGGCTCAGCATCAACACCTCCAGGCATATTGCTTTGCGTGCAACACTTTACTTCACCATAACCACTCTGGTAGCTGTGACCATTGGTGAGGGATGGATTCTAAATTCCTGCTTCTGTTCTTGAATTATTCTAAAGGCAGAATTGTGTTCTTACAAGATATTTTCAGCAACTAGAAAAGTTTATTTTATTTATCGAGATTTTTGCACGTGAGCTAAAGACTCGTTATTTTTAGGACTTGTTTTTTAGGATTAGCATCATGTAAACAGGTGTGTGTGTGTGTGTGTGTGTGTGTGTGTGTGTGTGTGTGTGTGTGTGTGTGTGTGTGTGTGTGTGTGTGTGTGTGTGTGTGTGTGTGTGTGTGTGTGTGTGTGTGAGTGTGTGTGTGCGTGCGCTGCAGGTCTGATATTGGCGGTGATCATAAGACCAGGGGCAGTAAATAACTTGGGTCAAGATATCACAGGAAGTAACACTGATTTCTCAACAATTGATGCCTTATTGGATCTGGGCAGGTGAGGTCATGCCACATCATGTTAAATCTGCATCCCCTTAAACACTATACATATTTTATAGAACAATAAGAAGTTTTGACCTATTTTATGTGTTCTTCTGTCTCTCTAGAAACATGGTTCCGCCGGATTTCCTCCAGGCTTGTTTCCAACAGGTCATCTTATTTTCAAATCCACTGTCTTACTCTGAGTCAAATATATGCTTACGTGGGTTTTTAATTATTCGTGCAGTACCAGACCGATAAACCACAAGTGTTTGAAGGTTCCAACTCTAGCCAGGTAATGTTGAATTTTCTTTCTGCCTTTTTATGCAAGACCAAAGACACACCAGTGCAAAAATAAATTTATCAGTAATAACTACATAATCTGCTGTTTTGATGCCTCAGAATTACACAGCAGATGTGCCGAGGGGTCACTATGTTGACGGTGCAAACACACTTGGCCTCATTGCCTTTGCCTTTGTGCTTGGACTGGCAATCAACTCTCTGAAAAAGAAAAAGGAAAATGTATTAGTGCTTGTTGCCAAAGCCATCAATGACATCACCAAAGCTGCCGTCAACTTGATTCTGAGGTGAGGTGGATTACTGTCATCTGATAAAATGTGTTGAAAAGTATCCTTAACTTTTATGAGTCTTTAAGTTATTTTATCATTGCTAATTTATACTAAATCACAGAGTTCCGTAGTTGAGATTTCATTGTTTCTGCTTTAGATTCTTACCAGTCGGAGTCTTTTTCATGATAACGACCCATGTCCTTGAAGTCCGCGACTGGCAAACTACGGAGAACTTGGGGAAATTCATAGCTGTGGTCCTCACTGGGTAAAATGTTTTTCAGCTACAGAGATACTTTAGTGAATGTTTGCAATGCAGGAATAAGTTTAAATTGGAGCAGCCATCTGTCATCAGAGGAAGTAATCTTGTTTCAAACAACTCTAAAAATAGTCTACTTAGACAGAATAATGCTGATTAATAATCCAACACACTCTTAGAAACTGTTTAATTTGATGATTCAGGACCATGGACAGTTCACAATTCTAAGGTGTTTACTATTAAAACAAAATGTGTGAAACAGGCAGTAAAACAAATGCCTTATCTGTATCTATTGACATCTGGAAAATGATTTATCTTTAAAATCTGGAAAAATTAATTATATGAACTCTAACTTTTTGAATTTCTGTGTTGTTGCTGTTGTAATCCTAATTTAATTGCGATGTTAGATCAGGAACTGATCCCAGACAGTATTTGTTTCAGGCTCATAATTCATGGAGCCATCGTCCTGCCAATGATATACATCCTGTTTACGAGACAAAACCCCCTTAAGGTCATCCGGGGGGTTTCTCCTGCACTGCTGACGGCTCTGCTCATCGCCTCCAGGTCCGTTTATCACCACCACTGGTTTTATATTTACCTCAGCACCGTGATATGAGAGAGATAAAATGTTCTGGGTTTCACCTCCATTCTCTAAGTTCTGCCACACTGCCTCACACTTTACGCTGCTGCTTGGAAAACAACAAGATTGATGGCAGAATCGTCCGCTTCATGCTGCCCATTGGGACCAACGTCAACATGGACGGGTCGGCGCTTTACGAGGCGGCCGCCACAGTTTTCATCGCACAGCTGAGTCACATCTATCTGGACGTGACTCAGTTGTTCACCATTGGGTCAGTTTTTCAGTCCTGATCGGCAGTGATTGATAAATGAGAACAATCTTTAGGGAAGTCTGTTTCACTGCCATGTTTCACAACATTTTCTGTACAGTTTGGCAGCTGCCATTGCCAGCGTCGGAGCTGCAGGGATCCCAGCGACCGGAGCAGTGACCACACTCTTCGTTCTGACCGCTGTCGGCCTGCCTGTGAGGGACGCTGCCCTCCTGGTGGTGACCGAGTGGCTGCTGTAAGTTCAGCAATGCTTTAAATCAGGGACAAACAGAAAAAAATAAATTATAAAACTATCTAATGACTATAAGTCACACCTGGCACTCATGTGGAAGAAATAATATTGTTTCCGTCTTTTAGAGACCGATTCAACACGGTGATTAACGTGTTGGGAGACTGCATCGGCGTTTCTCTTGTCCATGAAATGTCAAGACAAGAACTGGAGAAAATGGACAAAGAGGACATGGAAACTGGAAGGTGAAGACACTTTTATCCTTTATTATCATCCCTAACATTGTTCAAGATAAATGTTTAAAACTCTGTCTTGAAAGGCTGTAGAATATTTGCATTTTATTGGCCCTTTGATTTGTTTTTCTAATATTCCGGTCAGTTCTTGAAGGATTTACTTTTCAGGAACTTATTTAGAAATCCCCACAAACTATTTTCTATATTAACTCAGCGTAAAGAACATAAAAACCTAGCCTTTGTATGTTTTGGACTATTTAAATTTAATTAAACAAATCAGTGATGGTAAAATTTATATTTTTTGTGTTATCTGGTGTGTTGTACTTTGTCTGTGCAGGATTTTAAACAAACGACAAGAAATGGCACAAGGAGAAAAAGTGATGGGGGAATCTGCCGCTCCTTCCACGACTAAATAAAATCTTCTTGAGCCAATCTCCAGCCCTCTGCAGCTCACCTGTTAACATATAATGCAAAAAATATTCATCACATTGAGACTATGAGAAGCATATGAGCATATGAGAAGACCAGTCCTAACTTTTGTTCAATTTTAGGGCAAATTAGAAAATATTTTATGATGTATTTTTCACATTTTTGCTTGTTTTTCATTGCACAACAAAAAATTATTTCTGCTTCTTAAAAAATCTAAATGTTTTAGAATTTTTAGGATCCCTTCAAATAATATTTGTTTCCATAAAAATGAAGCAAAACTTTGCCAGCTTTAGAGAATGAAAAAAAAAAAACCTTTAAACAGCACCAACTGGCCTGTGTTTAACATATTTTAGAGTCCTTGGAATTTCTTCTGCACCATTTCAATCTTAGAGTGGCCAAGGAGAAGACTACATTGTTGTAGAGATTTCATCCATTTGTTCTGATGGGGCAGCGGTAGCTCAACAAGTTGAACGGGTTGTCCAGTATTTGGAAGGTTGCAGGTTCGATCCCGGCTCTGGACAGAGAATTCTGCTGTTGTGTCCTTGGGCAAAACACTTAACCAATGCTGGTGGTGGTCGAAGGGACCGGTGGCGCCTGTGCTCGGCAGCCTCGCCTGTCAGTGCGTCCCGTAACTTATCACCACCAGTGTGTGAATGGATGAATGATACACTGTAGTGTAAAGCACTTTGGAGTCCTTACTCTGAGAGGCGCTATACAAGTGCGAGTCATTTATCATGATATGAGCTGTGGAATCATCTTGATTATTATTATTATTATTATTATTATTATTATTATTATTATTATTATTATTATTATTATTATATTTGTAATGTTACTGTGCCTTATGAATTTTTAGTCTCAGAAAAAAGCACTACACATATTACTAAAGAGCCACGTGGCAAGCATGGAGGTAAAATATGCCACGTTCCGTGAATGCAACACCAGCTCAGTACAGATCAATCTCTAAATTCGGGAGACTTTCCCTGAATTTGTTTTAACGTTTGATCGCAGTCATATTAAGTCACTTTTCGTGAAATAGTAATTTGTTAAAGTGGCATCATTTAAACTTGGTGTTGAACGTTACCATCGGAACTGCGCATCCTGGCAACAGGGACCGGATCCTTGGTCGCATAGGCATACATAAATATTCTCAGTGCGACTTAATACTTTAATCAGGATTATGGTTGAACCAGCTGCAGAACGGAAATGGAGAGCGTTTACAAGTTACGTGAAGGAGAACAACCTCATAGTCGCCAGTCTGGTGGCCGTCGTCCTGGGTGAGTTTCTGACTGAACTGTAGATCTGAGGTTTAAACTCCCATCTAAACGCAGCTCTTCACACAGGGATCGTTCTGGGCGTCGTGTTGAAAACCTACGTCATCCTGACGGATGAACAGCAGGAGTACATCAAATTCCCAGGAGAAATTCTGATGCGGATGCTGCAGTTTGTGTCGGTTCCTCTGATCACCACGAGCGTAACGCTCGGTAAGGTTTAAGCAACTCATTTAAATATAAAATCGGACCTTATTTTAACAGCGCATTTGTAATTTTCTCAAATTTGGCATTTTAAATGTTCTTTTAAACCTTTTGTACGTGTTCCTATTGGGGGAAATATGATTTTAGATTTCAAAAACGTTGCTATAAAAGTCTGTAAAAAGTTGTTTCCAGGACTGGTTTTGGAGTAAAGCGGTGTGATAGGGAGTTATTATTGGTTAAATTATTATTGGTGAAAATATTGTATTTGGCGCAGGATTTTCTTTTATTTTTTTACCATTATTGCCTCAAACATTTATGACGTCATCATAAGTTTATAATTATCCTATTCAACAATATTTTAGTAATGCCAGAGGGACGTTAGTTGTTGTAACTCATTCTTGAAAAGCAATGATGAAAACATTAAAATTCAATGCAATTCAAGTTTATTTATAAAGAGCCAAATCACAACAAGAGTTGTCTCAAGGCACTTCACACAGTAAACATTCCACTACAGTTCAGTTCATTACGCCAATCACTAAAAAGTTTCCGATATAAAGAACCCAGCAGATTGCATCAAGTCACTGACAAGTGTCAGTGTCTTTACCCAATCCTCATACTTACAAGCATGTAACGACAGTGGAGAGGAAAACTCCCTTTTAACAGGAAGAAACCTGCAGAGGATCCTGGCTCAGGATAAGCAGCCACCCACCATGACTCAATGGGGATCGAGAAGACAGCAGAAGTACACACACACACGCACGCACGCACGCTCTCTCACACACACACACACACACACACACACACACACACACACACACACACACACACACACACACACACACACACACACACACACACACACACACACATAACATTTATACCAAGTAGTACTAATATTCAATTAAGTAAGAGATTAACTTTATTGTCTTTATCTTAGTGAACCTATAGTTGATTCAACAGGTGAACTAGTAGTAGCACATTCCATGTCAAAGATATTAAAATGTTATCGGGAGAGGGAGAATGTTAAATGATTAGCAGCAGTGTGCCAGCCGATGGCCCCCTTCACGAGGCTACCACAGCTCAGCAGAACACCATTGTAGCTTCTTCTGAAGAGAAAAACACTTGGAGAAAAAAGAAAGGTAACAGCTGAACTAGCAGGAAATAATGCAATTAGAGAGAAGTGGTACAAGAAAGTAACAGAGTCTGGAGAGTGGTCGAAATGTCCTTTAGCCTCATAACTACAGAGATGACTGGGTAACCTAGCCTTTTGGAGGCATGTTGGAGGCAGGGCAAGGGAGAACCGCCATTACCGACTGTATTCTCCACTGTACACTCCACCTCCCTCTACTCCCCCACTCGTCCAGATCTGGGCTAACATCAGAATTTAATCTAGGGCCAATAAAATAAAAAGTTTTAAGCCTAGTCTCTAAAGTAGACAAGGTGTCTGCCTCGCGGACTAAAGCTGGGTGCTGGTTCCACAAAAAAGAGCCTGATAGCAGAAAGATCTGCCTCCCATCCTATATTTAGATGTTCTAGGAACCACCAGTAAACCTGCAGTCTGAGAGCGAAGTGCTCTGTTAGGAACATATGGAACAATCTGGACACTGATGTATGATGGAGCTTGATTATTAAAAGCTTTATATGTGAGAAGGAGGAGCTTAAAATATATTCTGAATTTAACAGGCAGCCAATGTAGGGAAGCTAATACAGGAGAGATATGATATCTAATTCTCATCAGAACTATAGCTGCAGCATTTTGGACAAGCTGAAGAATTGAATTGAATTGAAATGAATTGAATGATGGTGTCATGAAGAGGATGATCAGGGTTTTCCATAATTGTCTTTATTTTATGAAGAATCTATTTATTGCTCCATCATCATCTCCAGTGGTTCCACAGTAGTCCCCAGAAAGGAACCAGGCTTTTTCTTCAGATTGTTGAATCGTTTTAGGTCCCTGGCTTTGTTGCTGCTACCTCCTTTTAGGAAGCTTTGATTACTGGATTTGTGTAATAATTCCATTTACTGTGGAAAGTATTTTTCCAGTTTTGATGATAATTCCAGTCAGAAACTCCTGTACTGTATCACAAAGCCTGATAATTAACTAAAACTATCATTATGGACATTGCATTAGATTATCATGGCAAGCTAATTAAAATGCCCCGGTTGTCTTCATTTCCATGAGTGTGTAATTGTAAAGTTTTCCACTTTTGTCTCAGTTTTTTTTTAACTAACCTTAATTTACTACTGTGATGTGTTCTGTATACTATCTGTACTCACCTGCACCGCTTCTGATATGTTATCATTTTCCCAGGAGTGGCCGGGCTCAGCATCAACACCTCCAGGCATATTGCTTTCCGTGCAACACTTTACTTCACCATAACCACTCTGGTAGCTGTGACAATTGGTGAGGGATGGCTTTTAAATTCCTGCTTCTGTTCTTGAATTATTCTAAAGGCAGAATTGTGTTCTTACAAGATATTTTCAGCAACTAGAAAAGTTGATTTTATTTATCGAGATTTTTCCACGTGAGCTAAAGACTCGTTATTTTTAGGACTTGTTTTTTAGGATTAGCATCATGTAAACAGCTGTGTGTGTGTGGGTGTGTGTGTGTGTGTGTGTGTGTGTGTGTGTGTGTGTGTGTGCACGCGCGCTGCAGGTCTGATATTGGCGGTGATCATAAGACCAGGGGCAGTAAATCACTTGGGTCAAGATTTCACAGGAAGTAACACTGATTTCTCAACAATTGATGCCTTATTGGATCTGGGCAGGTGAGGTCATGCTACATCATGTTAAATCTGCATCCCCTTAAATATTTTATAGAACAATAAGAAGTTTTGACCTATTTTATGTGTTCTTCTGTCTCTCTAGAAACATGGTTCCGCCGGATTTCCTCCAGGCTTGTTTCCAACAGGTCATCTTATTTTCAAATCCACTGTCTTACTCTGAGTCAAATATATGCTTACGTGGGTTTTTAATTATTCGTGCAGTACCAGACCGATAAACCACAAGTGTTTGAAGGTTCCAACTCTAGCCAGGTAATGTTGAATTTTCTTTCTGCCTTTTTATGCAAGACCAAAGACACACCAGTGCAAAAATAGATTTATAAGCAAGAATTACATAATCTGTTGTGTTGATGTCTCAGAATTACACAGCAGACGTGCCGAGGGGTCACTATGTTGACGGTGCAAACACACTTGGCCTCATTGCCTTCGCCTTTGTGCTTGGACTGGCAATCAACTCTCTGAAAAAGAAAAAGGAAAATGTATTAGTGCTTGTTGCCAAAGCCATCAATGACATCACCAAAGCTGCCGTCAACTTGATTCTGAGGTGAGGTGGATTACTGTCATCTGATAAAATGTGTTGAAAAATATCCTTAACTTTTATGAGTCTTTAAGTTATTTTATCATTGCTAATTTATACTAAATCACAGAGTTCCGTAGTTGAGATTTCATTGTTTCTGCTTTAGATTCTTACCAGTCGGAGTCTTTTTCATGATAACGACCCATGTCCTTGAAGTTCGCGACTGGCAAACTACGGAGAACTTGGGGAAATTCATAGCTGTGGTCCTCACTGGGTAAAATGTTTTTCAGCTACAGAGATACTTTAGTGAATGTTTGCAATGCAGGAATAAGTTTAAATTGGAGCAGCCATCTGTCATCAGAGGAAGTAATCTTGTTTCAAACAACGCTAAAAATAGTCTACTTAGACAGAATAATGCTGATTAATAATCCAACACACTTTTAGAAACTGTTTAATTTGATGATTCAGGACCATGGACAGTTCACAATTCTAAGGTGTTTACTATTAAAACAAAATGTGTGAACCAGGCAGTAAAACAAATGCCTTATCTGTATCTATTGACATCTGGAAAATGATTTATCTTTAAAATCTGGAAAAATTAAATAATATGAACTCTAACTCTTTGAATTTGTGTTGTTGCTGTTGTAATCCTAATTTAATTGCGATGTTAGATCAGGAACTGATCCCAGACAGTATTTGTTTCAGGCTCATAATTCATGGAGCCATCGTCCTGCCAATGATATACATCCTGGTTACGAGACAAAACCCCCTTAAGGTCATCCGGGGGGTTTCTCCTGCACTGCTGACGGCTCTGCTCATCGCCTCCAGGTCCGTTTATCACCACCACTGGTTTTATATTTACCTCAGCACCGTGATATGAGAGAGATAAAATGTTCTGGGTTTCACCTCCATTCTCTAAGTTCTGCCACACTGCCTCACACTTTACGCTGCTGCTTGGAAAACAACAAGATTGATGGCAGAATCGTCCGCTTCATGCTGCCCATTGGGACCAACGTCAACATGGACGGGTCGGCGCTTTACGAGGCGGCTGCTGCAGTTTTCATCGCACAGCTGAGTCACATCTATCTGGACGTGACTCAGTTGTTCATCATTGGGTCAGTTTTTCAGTCCTGATCGGCAGTGATTGATAAATGAGAACAATCTTTAGGGAAGTCTGTTTCACTGCCATGTTTCACAACATTTTCTGTACAGTTTGGCAGCTGCCATTGCCAGCGTCGGAGCTGCAGGGATCCCAGCGACCGGAGCAGTGACCACACTCTTCGTTCTGACCGCTGTCGGCCTGCCTGTGAGGGACGCTGCCCTCCTGGTGGTGACCGAGTGGCTGCTGTAAGTTCAGCAATGCTTTAAATCAGGGACAAACAGAAAAAAATAAATTATAAAACTATCTAATGACTATAAGTCACACCTGGCACTCATGTGGAAGAATTAATATTGTTTCCTTATTTTAGAGACCGATTCAGCACGGTGATTAACGTGTTTGGAGACTGCATCGGTGTTTCTCTTGTCCATGAAATGTCAAGACAAGAACTGGAGAAAATGGACAAAGAGGACATGGAAACTGGAAGGTGAAGACACTTTTATCCTTTATTATCATCCCTAACATTGTTCAAGATAAATGTTTAAAACTCTGTCTTGAAAGGCTGTAGAATATTTGCATTTTATTGGCCCTTTGATTTGTTTTTCTAATATTCCGGTCAGTTCTTGAAGGATTCACTTTTCAGGAACTTATTTAGAAAGCCCCACAAACTATTTGCTTTATTAACTCAGCGTAAAGAACATAAAGACGTAGCCTTTGTATGTTTTGGACTATTTAAATATAATTAAACAAATCAGTGATGGTAAAATTTATATTTTTTGTGTTATCTGGTGTGTTGTACTTTGTCTGTGCAGGATTTTAAACAAACGACAAGAAATGGCACAAGGAGAAAAAGTGATGGGGGAATCTGCCGCTCCTTCCACGACTAAATAAAATCTTCTTGAGCCAATCTCCAGCCCTCTGCAGCTCACCTGTTAACATATAATGCAAAAAACATTCATCACATTGAGACTGAATTTTAGCATATGAGAAGATCAGTCCTAAATTATGTTCCATTTTAGGGCAAATTAGAAAATATTTTATTATGTATTTTTCACATTTTTGCTTGTTTTTCATTGCACAACCAAAAAAAATTGCTTATTGAAAAATCTAAATGTTTTAGAATTTTTAGGATCCCTTCAAATAATATTTGTTTCCATAAAAATGAAGCAAAACTTTGCCATCTTTAGAGAATGAAAAAACCTTTAAACAGCACCAACTGGCCTGTGTTTAACATATTTTAGAGTCCTTGGAATTTCTTCTGCACCATTTCAATCTTAGAGTGGCCAAGGAGAAGACTACAGTGTTGTAAAGATTTCATCCATTTGTTCTGATGAGGCAGCGGTAGCTCAACAACTTGAACGGGTTGTCCATTATTCGGAAGGTTGCAGGTTCGATCCCGGCTCTGGACAGAGATTTCTGCTGTTGTGTCCTTGGGCAAGACACTTAACCCATGCTGGTGGTGGTCGGAGGGACCGGTGGCGCCTGTGCTTGGCAGCCTCGCCTCTGTCAGTGCGTCCCAGGGCAGCTGTGGCTACATCGTAGCTTATCACCACCAGTGTGTGAATGTGTGTGTGAATGGATGAATGATACACTGTAGTGTAAAGCGCTTTGGGGTCCTTATTCTAAGAGGCGCTATATAAGTGTGAATCATTTATCATGACATGAGTGGTGGAATCATCTTTATTATTATTATTATTATTATTATTATTATTATTATTATATTTTTAATGTAACTGTGCCTTATGAATTTTTAGTCTCAGAAAAAAGCACTACACATATTACTAAAGAGCCACGTGGCAAGCATGGAGGTAAAATATGCGGCTTTCCGTGAATGCAACACCAGCTCAGTACAGATCAATCTCTAAATTCGGGAGACTTTCCCTGAATTTGTTTTAAAGTCTGATCGCAGTCATATTAAGTCACTTTTCGTGAAATAATAATTTGTTAAAGTGGCATCATTTAAACATGATGTTTAACGTTACCATCGGAACTGCGCATCCTGGCAACAGGGACCGGATCCTTGGTCGCATAGGCATACATAAATATTCTCAGTGCGACTTAATACTTTAATCATGATTATGGTTGAACCAGCTGCAGAACGGAAATGGAGAGCGTTTACAAGTTACATGAAGGAGAACAACCTCATAGTCGCCAGTCTGGTGGCCGTCGTTCTGGGTGAGTTTCTGACTGAACTGTAGATCTGAGGTTTAAACTCCCATCTAAACGCAGCTCTTCACGCAGGGATCGTTCTGGGCGTCGTGTTGAAAACCTACGTCATCCTGACGGATGAACAGCAGGAGTACATCAAATTCCCAGGAGAGATTCTGATGCGGATGCTGCAGTTTGTGTCGGTTCCCCTGATCACCACGAGCGTAACGCTCGGTAAGGTTAATGCTTGACTGCGTTTGAAAAAAACACCAAAAGTTAAAGTTTTCCTCGTAAAAAGTATGCAAAACACTTTTTTCTGAGGGGGAAAATGAATCAAGAGATGAAAATTATATGCTTGTAAGCCAATTGGAGAGAGATTGCATTATGACCAGATCTTATTTCAACAATGCCAATCTCGTTTTCTCAACATTTCTTCCTCTTGAATGTCCCTGCAAAGTTGTTTTTTTTTTCATGTTCTCTATTGACAAAATAAATAAATAAAATAAAATGTGATTTTAGGTCCAATTAAAATCAGAAAGAAAAGTTTCCTGCACTGATTTTGTAACAAAGCTGATGTATTAATATTAGATCGTTTTAGGTGAAAATTCTGTGTGTGATGCAGTTTTCTTTTATTATTATTATTCTTTATTGCATTAAAACATTTGTTATTTCATCGTAAAAAGGTTTAAATTTCCTCTGTTAGGAAAATAATAGAATTATGATGGTATTTTTTCATCATCATCTAAATTTACTTAATGCATGACATAAACACCCGTTAAGGATTCATTTGAATATTTCTACCTCCAAAACCTCTCTTGGCTGATAGTTCCAGTTATGACTAGAAACTGCTGTACTGGATCACAAAGCCTGACCATTAACTAAAACTATTGTCATGACCATTGCATAACATTGTTTTTGCAAACAACTTAATATCTCAATCTTCAGTATTTCAGGCATGCAGGCAAATAATCAGTGTCTTCTGGTTTTGTCACCTTTTTGTTTTATTCGGTATACTGACTGTACTCACCTGCACAGCTTCTGTTTCCTTATGTTTTATATTTTTACAGGAGTGGCGGGTCTCAGCATCAGCACCTCCAGAAACATTGCTTTGCGTGCTACAATTTACTTCATCGCCACCACTCTGATAGCCGTGACTATTGGTGAGAGATGTAAATTTCTGACATTTTTCATGTTTTTTTCTTCAATTATACAGCAAGGCAAACATGTTTGTGTTTACTCATTATGAGTTATTTACCATACCATATCATACCAAGTTTATTTGTATAGCACATTTAAACACGGCATGAGATCCGACCAAAGTGCTGAACAAAAACACACAATAAAAACAATCAAAAATAAAAACTAAATCCATTAAAATCGAGTAATTCAAATCAAAAAGAAAAGGAGAAAGAGAATAAGTTAGACTGAATTAAAAGCCAACGAATAAAAGTGAGTTTTTAAACAAGACTTAAAAAGGGAAAGAGAGGAAGAGAGTCTGATCAGGAGGGGCAAGTGGTGATGTGTTCTCGCTGCCTGGTGCCAGTCAAGAGTCAAGCTGCTGCATTCTGCACAAGCTGAAGGCGAGCAAGAGTGGAGGAGGAGATACTATATAGCACTGAATTAGAGTAGTCGAGACGGGAAGTAATGAAGGCATGGACAACTGAATGGAGATTAAGCCTTTTTAAAATGGGCTTAACTTTAGAGAGATGTCTCAGGTGGTAAAAACAGATCTTAACTACCTGGTAGCAGCTGTAAAATTTGTTTTATTCAGGCAAGGCAGCTTTATTGCGAATTCATTCACAGAAGCATTACTAGGTGAACTCAAAGGGTCGGGTTTTCACAGCATCTGCCTGCATTCCTTCGTGGGGTTTTTTAGTTTCTTGCAGCTCAAGGCTACCAGGGCGTCAGATTCAGATAACAAGAATTTGTTTGGGTCAGGCTGAGATAATTTTCCTCTCTGCCTTCAGTCTTTAAACTGATCATTTCTGTCATGAGCCGGGGTGAGTACTCGTCTCATCTTCTCACTATCTCTGAGTGTTTTGGTTTCAGGAGAGGGAGCAACAGCTGTCTCCAATCAGCTGATCAGCGGGCCGGTTTATAAGGAGGAAGGTGGACATGACTCGACGCCGGATGATTAACTACTGACTGGTCTGGATAATCATCAGAGTTTTCCCCGATGCCGTTTTGGATTTTTATCTAGTTCGTTTCCTGGTTCACCCTCCTCCAAGTGCCGACCCGATCTCCTCCACCTCTCGCTCCCTCTCCAGAACCACACCAGTCCGGATCCCATTCCTCATTCACCTCTACCGCTCTACAATCATTACCTGGACTTACCCCGGCTCACCCCTCCCACACGCTTCTCGTCTATCTAAGCCGTAAGTCCCTCAGCCAGCAATTCCCCTGCCATTCTACAACTCCCATACTCACCTCTGCTACTTTTCCCTCTAGACGCTGCTTCCCGTTTCTGCACCCGCCGGATTTTCCAGTGCGCCCTTAGTTCACCGTTTCGTCAATAAATATTATTATTTTTTTATACAATCTGACTCTGACTCTGATTCTGCATGTCCTGGGTTAGACTCTTGCCCCACAACATGACAGAATCATCCGGCCAAAACGCTAACCCCACAGAATCAGTTATCTCTAACATCTCTCATCGCTTATCTCAGCAGGAACAAACTCTCTCTTTACTTATGGAACAACTTACAGCAGCTAACCAATGTTATCAGCAATTGGAAAATATGGTTCGTCAAATTCAAGAAGCCCTGTCCCACACACACCAGCCACCCCCTTCAGCGGAACCTTCAGCAGTAGGTCGGGTTGCCGCCGGAAGTCCTGGACCGGAAACAGCAAGGTCCTGGAACGAGACCCACTTCCGTGTTGCTCCATCCCCGCCATCAGTCACCTTCGATGGTGAGTTTGAGGAATTTTGCCACAGTTTTTTACTACAGTGCCAACTAGCATTCCAATGTTGCCCTACAGCCTTTTCCTCAGACTCGGCTAAGATCTCCTACATCGTGGGGCTGTTGAGAGGAAGAGCCCTACGTTGGGCAGAGGCCAAAAGCCATAATGACTCTTTTTTTAATGGTCTTTTCTGTGATTTTTTGTCTGATTTTAAATTGACTTTTGGGAGCTTTGAGTCTGTTTCTGATATTTGAAAGCAATTATGGAATCTATCTCAAGGCAGGAGATCGGTGGCAGACTTGGCTGTGGAATTCAGGATCCTTGCAGCTCAGACCTCTTGGAATGAGGACGCCCTCATCGGAGCATTTACTGAGGCCATGAGTGATCGAGTTCAAAACCGGCTGGCTTTATGCCAGGAACCCACTTCTCTGGAGGAGCTTATACGGCGGGCTATTTCCATCGACAAATGGCACCGTGAGCTGAGAAGACGTGAGTCGGAGCCCATGGTCTCCTCCTCACATGAGAGAGTGTATGGAGCTAAAGGACGTGTACAAATGGACTCCCCCTCTGCGGAGGAGCCTATGCAGATGGGGAGAACTTGTCTCTCTCAGGAAGAGAGAGAGCATCGGATCAGGTCAGGACTGTGTTTGTACTGTGGGATGGCTGGACGTTTTCGAAGCACTTGCCCCGCTCTGCCCACCAGTTAAACCGGGACTACTGGTGGGTGGGTTTTCAGACTCTGCTAGCTCTCGGTGTTCTTTTCCCTGTATTTTGATAATTGATTCTAGGCAGATATCTCTCGAGGCTCTCCTGGACTCTGGATGTGAGCAGTCTCTTTTAGA